GTATGTGTGCACACCTGTCCGTGCATTTGCCTGTCTGAAATTAGCCCATAGCAAATTGGATGTACTGGTTAAAATAATTTCTGTATTGCACTGGACTTTTCCTTTCAAGGGATACTGCCAATACAATTAGCTTCTGACTAAAGCAAGTGCTAGCTAAGACCTCTGGAGAGAATTAAGGGAAGTAAATTTTCTAGCTTATTTACCTGATGGATGTGTCAGCACTTTGTGTATTGACAAATTCCCCTTTCACTTGTATGAATATTTCTCTCCACTTGTTAGCAAAATTAATTATTTTAAAATAATAGGATGTGCCTGTACAAGTGTTGCTGAGACAGATGGGAGGAGCTGCAGCACCAGAGCTATCCACATAACTAATGAGATACAAAATGAAATTAAAGGAAAGGTGCTGGGTACTCTTAGTTGCTTCAACTGCACAAAGCTTATTTATACGTGTGTATAGTCATTTTGAGTCAGTGGCTGAGTGAAAACAGGCAAGCCAGAGGTAAGATATTTATGGTAAATTTGATGTGCATTTGTACATGCAGTCTTAAAATTCCAGATGCTTTAGCAGGACCCTGCAGAAGCAAAGGACGTGCCATGCTAGTCCTACAGAGAAGTGATGGATGCAAGAGATCCTGATCCTTTCTCACATTTGGTGTATCTCTGCACTTGCTGAAAGATCAGCTGAAAGCACAAGTCCATTGGAGTTAAGTAATTGTTATTTTTTAACACAGTTGTTGGTATTGTAAATTGTTCTGTGCAAGTAATAACGGTACATATTATACAAAATATCTACTTTTGAAGGTAGCTTATTGGGTTTTTATTTCCTTTGTAGAAAAAAAGTTCATCTAAGCTTTTTTTTTTTTTTTTACATTCAGGATATGCCATTAGATAAATTATTCTTCCCTAGTTGGCTTTAAAAAAGTAATCCAAAGTATATTTAACAGAGAAGAAATAAATCTTTTTGTTCTGATGTAAAGAAGTTATAAAGCATTTCTGAATATTTCATGTTAACTGAAGTGGTCTTCCTGTGGTATTCCAGTCCTCATTCTGCAATGGGATTTTTATGAGGTAACCTAGATTTCATTGTCTGTTATCATGGATAAAATATTCTGTTAATGGTATGCTTTTTCCTGCACAACAAATGCTGGTCAGATTCCTGAAATCTGTCATATTGTGCTTTTGTTGCCAAGTGTTAAAGCCCTTTTTATTTCCTGCTGTTGGAGAATTAGCAGCAATAAATGTCAATTGTAGTGATACAGAGCTACTTAAGCAGGAATTGACTTGTGTCATCCAGAAACTTAGAGGCAAATTTAGAGGCAAAGCTTGGTAAAGCTTAAATATATATTCTGTATTTTATTACATGATAAATTTACAAGTCTAGTCACCTTTCCCCTAAAATTTATGAAAAAAGAGATATATTTAAGAAGTATAAGATACAGTGTATAATGTACAGAATTTTTAATAAGTGCCAATATCAATGTGCCATAAGCATCCTGAGGGGGTGACAGTGCAGGAAACCTCTGTGGGACTGTGCAATTGGGTATGAGGCCTTTGACACTGAGACACATTTTTTACAGTAGGAATTTAATTCATAAGAAGTCTGGTGTGCCTTACTTGAGTGCATAAAGAGAAAATGAAAGCACCTTTTTAATGCTCTTAGGCCCTAATTCTTCCTGGACATGCTGGGAAGTTGGTACGAATAGCAGTGTGTTCACTGAAGGCACTGAGGTTACTCAGTGTTAAGCAAATACCAATTTTACAGAATGAGCGGGTGGTATTTCATATAGTATAGGATCTTTGTGTTTGTTTTTAATTTCCTGTACCTTTAGTATTTCTTTCTGGTATGTTTTGAGGACCTCTGCATTTTTAATAGTTGGACCTTTTCAAAACTAAATATGATGCCTTTACCCGGTGCTGATCTATTTTCTGTTTGGTCTTAGAAATCAAACTCCTTACATGAGTTGAAGGATTTCAGTGCATAGACATGCAGACATGCATTACAAAGAACTGTATGTGTATATATATATATTTTTTTTTATTGTCAGTTGGACAAATTCTGTTGTTTTTCTATGTTTTCATGAGCCTTGTATGAGGTCAACTCCAGCTTCACCAAGTTTAATTGGAGTCAGAATATGAGGATTTGAATATTTAGGAGAGCTTTTTTCTTTCGTGGTACCAGGAAGCAAAGCATGGACTATGTGTTACATATCTTTAAAATCAATTATGTGTGAATCATTTGAAAAAAATTAGCATTCATATCCATCTTTTCTTTTTGTTTGTTTGTACATTTCAGTCATTGTTTCTGTATTGTATGCTGCTGAGTATTCAAAGTGTAGATAATACGATTATGATAAAATTTAAACTACAGATTTGTATTTCTTTGAAGTGCTCTACCAGAATGAAAAGTCTTGAATTTTTATGAATGTAAAATTGCTTGTATTTAAGAATATGGTGCTTTTCCCCCCACTTTACAACAGAATTGTTACCAGTGACATTTTTAGATACCTTAGTTCCAGATTTTAATGGAAATTGCATTGCTCCTCATTTACTGTAAAACAGACTTTGTGGGATAACAATAGTGCATATGTTCCATATTTTTAAATAAAGTTGAATATCACTTGTATGTCCTTCATACAGCAGCCTTAACTTTAACCACTACTATAATTTTAGTTAACACTAAAATAATATAGTAACTTAACATCATGAGTATGCCAGATATCTAATGCCATGACATTGCACAAATCATAGTACATTTAAAGAAATAACATGATAACATTGTATGCACTGCATAGAGGGAACAGAGAATAACAGCCTTTGATTTGGGCATTTTGTGTTACCCTGCCAAACCAGAGGTGATGTTAGGTTTGATTTCCAGAGGGGGTGAGTGGCCCTCAGCTTCATGCTCAACTTTCTGAAGCACCAAGCCTTGTCCTGGTATTCACCCAACCACAGAGCTGGATGAATAAATTCATTGTTGTTTCCTTGTTCCCTATTTGTCAAAAAAACCCAAAACAAATCAACTAACCACAACACTAACAACAACCCCACCCAAATCCCAATCCTAAAAAAACCCCTCCAAAACCCGAAAAGACCCCACACAAACCAATCCCAAAACCTTCCTCAATTTTAATAGTACTGTGAGTATAGCAAGAGAATAAAAGCATGTATCTAGGCAATGGATGACAATAGTCTGGACACAGAACCCTACAGACAGAGCAAGATTATCATCTGGCATTGTTTTCAAGGACATTTGAGTAGTGATCTTTGTTCACAGACTTAAAAGTGGCTATGACAGTATTTTTTCTGAGGTATATTCTTTATAAGGAATTATATAATAGTATTCAAATTATTAATAATCACCCTACTGTACATACAGATGTACTAAGACTGGTCTTGAAAATCTTGGTCCCATGAAGCAGTGGAATAGGGCCACTGATTTAAAGGACGGCAAGTCATCTGCAAGCATCTCATCACATTTAAAACATTACCTGAAAAATGTATTTAATCTATCAGCTTACTTATGTGGAAGACTGGGGTCCTCACATAAAGGTTTACATTAGTTTTTCTGATGGCTATAAGTGAAAATTCATGCATACCCTTTGTAAAGTAGGACATGTAAAATCCATAACTTTCTTCATTGTACACATTTTCATAGGAAAAAAGAATATGCCAGTTTAAATATGTCTTAATGCAGTCTGAGTGTTATTTCCATGTGCTATTACCATATTTTCCACAATACACTAATACTTGCAGCTCAGACACCATAAGATCATTGACCTACCCTGTGTGTGAAAGCAAAAGGGAAATTTCACTTAGGAAGGCAAATAAGGATTGCAACCAGTAGTTTTGCAGATGACAGGGAAAAAAACCCCCACTTGTTATTCTAATTGTTTCAAGGGGGAAACACTGTAGCAACAAATTTTTTTTTCTGAATTTGTTACAGGTAATGGATGACATGTTTATGATAACAGAATGAAAAAGCGATCATGAAATTTCATCAACCTACTCCACTCCTGGGCCCTACTGGTTTCCTTATACTAACCAGGCGCCCCAGGGTGAAGTCTCAGAGCAGGGTTCGGCAAGCAAGTCTCCAAACTCTGCATGTGTTTCTGTTTATGAGGGTGGGGGAACATTATGCATGGACCTTCTAACTTTTTTTTGTGTGGATACAGATGAAGTAAACCTTTAAGTAATCTGTAAATGCTCTGATATCTGCTGTAGCCCTGGAGCTGTGGTCAGGGACACAATTTATATTTATTTTTATTCATCTTGGACTGTGGTTGTGTCTACTACGGGGTCTGCCTTTGATCTCTGACAGTCATTATTTCCCCCCACCCCGTTCAAGTCCAACCTTGCCTTGCATCTACCTTTGTGGCCCCTCCAGTCATATTTTCCCTCCCTTCCTTTCCCAAGGAAACCCTCAAATTCCAAGGAATGGCTTTTTACAGCTCATTGTGAGCAGAACCACACACACGGCAGACATCAAGTTTACCATTTTCATCCCTTCGCTGACAGCATAGAGAGACCTGCGCCTTCCCAATGTGCTTCACCTGTGGCCAGAGAGAGACCGCCTCTCTTTTCCACAGTGAGGTAACTTTCGGTGTGGCAGGCTGGTACAAGTGCAACAGTCTGACGTAAAAATATGTTTTTGCTGTCTCAGGCCTGCACCGTTCAGTGCCCTAGTGCAGCCCCGGGTCACCTGCGGTACCGCCCGTGCTCCGCTCTGCCCAGCCGGCTGTGGGTCCCAGGGCAGCCGCAAACAGCCGGACCTGTGCAGAGCCTCGTAGGGCGACGGGCAGCTGGCACCGAGGAGCTGCTTCGAGAACAGCCCTCCCCCGGTGTCCCCGAACGTCCTACGGCTGCAGCCCCGCTCCGCACACCGGCTTCCCAGCGAGGAATGGAGTGTAGCGGTGGGAGCGGCCCGGCCCCGGCCCCTCCCCGCCGAGGCGCCCCGGGGCCGCCCCGCGCCGCGCCCGCCCCGCCGCCGCCGCGCCCGGGCCGCTCCCGCCATGCGGCTCTGGGTGCTCCTCGGCGTGCTGCTGCTGCTGCAGGGAGCGCTGCCACACGGTGAGCCGCCGCCCGACGGGTCCCCCCGCTTTGCGAGGCGCTGCCGGCTTCCCTTTCCCCAGCCGTACCCGCCGGCCCGACCGTCTCGGGGACGGGAGCGGGAGCCATCACGGGAGGGGCGGCGGCGGGGCTCCCGTCCCGCTGGGCAGTAGGCGGAGGGAAGCCGGGTTGCTCGCGTCGTGTGAGGCCAGCAGGTCCCCGAAGCTTCAGGCGAAAATGTGGGTTTGAGAATGGGGAGAGGCGTTGGCAGCAGCCCCGGCTGCTCCTGCCGCCCGCTGTCTTTGGGGTAGAACGTCTCAATCCGCGTCCTGTTCCCTGTGGCGCCTGAGGAGGGGACACAGCTGGACGTGGGACAGCGTTGGGTGTGATGCTTGGATTTAAAAAACAACCAAAAAAAATTTGGCTTCTTGCATCGTTGTTCGATTGAGAGCATCGAACTTCACTCATAACTTGAATATTATGAGAAACGTTCTCATAACTTTTTTCTCACAGCCGCTTCAGGCTGTGAGAAAGTCTTGGTAGGGAAGCGACATCCGTAACTAATTTTTGATTTAGGTAGACTTTAGTTAGCAAAAGGAAGACTCTTTCCCCCTTGCAAAATGTAAATGAACTTATCAATACTTATTCGGAAGAAACAACAAAAAAGTTATTCCATTGTTTTTCAGTGTGGAAGGGTTTGGGGATCAAGGCCTGCATAACGCATGGAAGGGTTTGTAGTGAATAGGAGGCAGGCTCTTAGGTGCGTGGTGAAAGGCAAGTACCACAAGTACTTTAGTAGGTCATAAGGAAAACATTCTTATAAGAACATAAAAAATCCTCCACCCTAAGATAAACATAGAGAGAATTTGTCAGAGAAGGCTGTAGAGTCTCCAGCCTCTGGGAAAGTCAGAGCTCAACTGGGCATCGCTCAGAGCAGCTGAACAGAGATGGGAAGGGAATTCCAGAAGCCTTTTCCAGCCTAGTTTTTCTCATGCCTACATGCAGAGGAATTCCACTGTGGATCAGATTGATGCAGGAGAGGATTTCTGCTGAAAGATCTTGTCTGTGTATACCACATCAAGAAAAGCGGTTTCTGTTTGAGAAGTAGACAATAAAAACAGAATAAATTGTAACTTGGGTTTCAGAAAGATTTCCCAAGCCTCTGTTCTTGTCAGTTTCTTATGTTTATGCTGTAGTGTGACTGGGTGCTCCCCCCTCTGCTATCCAGAAGCTTAGCAATGGAAGAAAGTAACCAAGTATATTTAATAAGAATTTCTTGTCTAAAGCTAAATGTAGAAGTCCTAATGTAGGAATTGCAATTTCAGAATACTCTTCCTAATTTATCTCATATTAATTTATGAACTAATGAAACATGCCCCTCCAGATTGGCACTGTTTGCATGATTAACTTTTTGTTTGAAGTATCACAAATTATATGTGTCCAGCTTGTTCTGTTACATTACTTGTAATCACAAAGACTCTTTCCTCATATAGTAATCCTGCTGGTTAATTATACTTCATGGTAATCTCACACTTAATTTATATTTTAAAATTTACTTTTAAAATATGACCTCACGATTAATTTATTTTCACTTCAAGGAGGAATTAATCAGTGTAAGTGAGAGAGTTCTCAGTCTCTGATGGTGCCAAGATGTGGCATGGGACCTGCCTTGTGGGGTGGCTATGTCTGGTGGACAGTGAAGGTGACTCTCTTGTACTTGTGGGAGACCAGGCTCACACACTGCTCCTCGTTCTCTGGGCTGGCACTTGAAGATCAGGGGCCTTCTTGAGTTATAACCTGTTCATCTGTGAGACTAGTGGAATGTGCGTGTGGATGTAGGAGATGGCTCAAAAAACAAATGCTTTTTAGGATTGTATAACTAACACCCATTTTGATATTGTTGTGTGGGTAACATTTGTGAGAACGAGGGGCAGACATTAAAGAATAGGGTAAGACAAATACTGTCAACCAGGAGCAAAGGTGCTGCATGATACATTTCTTGGTGGCATATGGATGCATAGTCTCCTACTTTGGCATGATCAGTTATTTGGGATCCCAAATGTACTGTTGTAGCTGAAAATTAGTACAGTGCCTCTTTAGAACCAACTTCAGGAGCTGATCAGTGGTAGAAATGAGGCATTTTCTCAATTAATATTTTTTCTAATTCTTAATTTTATTATATTTTATTATATAATAAGGAATGCTGTTGCACTAAAGCAGTGCAACATTAGGCAGTGCAATGTTATTGAAACAGTGAGGGCTCAGTGCATACCTCTGGTGAAAGAGTGAAATATCCCAAACGTGGCATATTCATGTGCTTGCATAAATGGGCTGCTTGACTTTGTTCCCTTTCTTGGGAAAATCTTGCAGATTGCATAAGGAATTGGAGGATTCTTGGTGATGGTTTCTGTGTCCCTGGAGGGATTTTATTGTGTATCCTCTTTACCTTGGGTAATACTGTAGCAGTTAATTTTGTTACCTGGCATAAAAAGACTTAATTCAGGTAAAACAGAAGACCGGATTGTGAGGTGCAAAAGAGGTGCTAGAAGTGGTGCTAGAAGTGGTCAGTAGATATCTGGAAAGACAAGGGAGTGTTGGGGAGGAGCATGGCCGCAGCTTGCTTGGAAACTCACCCCTTTGGGAGGTGCAACAGAGGCAGAACCAGGTTTTCTGTGTAGGAAGGTAAGAGCTCATCTGATGTGTTTCCTGAAATGCCCCTGCTGTCACCTGCAGGGAAGCACAAGGTCAGGCAGACAAGGCTCTCACTGAGCGGCTGGGAGTGTGGTGTAGGAGGAGAGTGTGAACTCGCTGAACTGCAGAAACATGAAACAGAGGGAGCTTGTGTGGAGAGGAAAAACTTAATCTTGGGAAAATCAAAACCAGGCTTCTGGCACTTCAAATTGGAAAGCTTTCATAGGGGAGTCTTTAACAGTTTCTTAAAGGCAGAGTCTCAGGTGTGGCAGAGCACACAGTATGGGATCAAGCATTTCCTAGGGATGAGGTTGCAGGGTCCATGTGCCTTAGAAATAATGTCAGGATCGAGGCTGGCAAAAAGGAGTGGAAATGTCAAAGAGTAGTTTGAACAAATTTCAGTAGGGTTTGATGGGGAGGGGGAAGAAAAAGGATGGCTGAGCCAAAGCTTGTGTGCTGCTACAGAGTCATCTGGAAAGTTCAACAAGGAACTGGAATGGCCGATTTGAAATGGGAATGCTTATGCAAAAGGCTTGTGGGGCCTGTCAGTGGAACCTCCCACTACTAATGCACAGTAGTGGGATGGAATTTCACTAAGATGGAACAGCTTACCCAAGGGAGAAGTGGCAGTATGTGTTGAAGAAAACTTTTGTGTTAAATCTGTTTCCTGGTGGGTTTTGGTGGTAAAAGTCACCGGGGCTGAAATGCCAGCCCTGTGGAGAGGAACCAACCTGGTAACTGACCACGCAATGTGTAGTGACTGCTCTGCTAAGGAAAACCAGAGGGGCAGCAAGGACTGGATAGAAAAGCAAAAGGAAGGATAACTTCGCCTCACATGGGCTGGGTCACACACGTCGAGGTGTGGTGCACAATGCAATTGTTTAGATGGCCACAAATAATGACTTACAGCAGCTATTCAGAGAGCCCCTCAGAAGAGCAGCAATTCTTGACTTGCTCTGGAGCAGTACTCAAGTAATTGGATTCAGATGTTGTTGTGGAAAGGCCTGACTGTAGTTCTAATATTCTTTCAGGAATAATAAAAGACAAAGAAACCACTGATGTGTTTAATTTTGGAAGGGGTAATTACATAAGAGGAGGAGGCTCCTTAACTCACATGTGGGTTAAATATAAAAACCAGAATAAAGCAGACCAAAAGAGCTTGAGAAACAGCTTACAAAAGGATAAAATCAGCCATAAATACTTTTTCTTCTTCTGATGTACCATGATGGGGCAGGGAGACATGGCTGCAGAATTTTTATGACTGGTAGGAATGGGGGATAAGAAAGAGCATCTATAGAAAGTGAAATTTAAAAATTTATCTGTGTACACCCATGTTCCCTATGGAGCTGCTTAGAGAGGTTTTAATGGCAAATGGTGACATGATAAATGTAGAAGAAACTTAGAGTGCAGTATCCTATGAAGCACTGTAAGAGCAGGTTCTGAAATATAATTTTTCTCTATGAGGAGAATCATTAGAGCACATCTCATTAACATGCCAAAAGAATCAGTTATCAGATAGAGAAAATTAGCAACATTAATTAAGTGCCAAGATATTATGATATACACCTGAGTTGTAAAAGAAATTTGAATCTGAAATTGGTGAAGCCTTAGCCCAGATGCTTGTCATTACTTGTCTTTTTCCAGAGAAGGCCAGTGAAGCTGGTGAAGGGTCTAGAGGGTAAGTTCTGTGAGGAGTGGCTGAGGGAGCTGGGGTTGCTTAGCCTGGAGAAAAGGAGGCTCAGTGATGACTTCATAACTCTCTACAGCTACCTGAAAGAAGGTGGTAGCAAGGTGGGGTTTGGCCTGCTCTCCCAGGCAGCAAGTGACAGGATGAGAGTACAGAGCCTCAGGCTGGGCCAAGGGAGGTTGGGTTGGACATTAGGAGGAATTTCTTCACAGTAGGCGTGATTGGACATTGGGATGAGCTGCCAGTGGAGGTGGTGGAATCACTGTCCCTGAAGGTGTTTAAGGGAAGACTGGATGGCCATGGCCTAATTGACATTGTGGATTTTGATCAGAGGTTGGGCTCGATGATCTCAGAGCTCTTTTCCAACTGAATTGATTGTGTTATCACTGCAATCACTATATCACATCAAAGAACTGTAGCTTTCCAGTGAAGTGGAATATCCCAGTATTTTACAATATTTGGAGGAGGTAGAGGCACAAAGCCAGATGTCTGTATTCTGTAAACTGAACTAATGAATTGCTGTTATGTCAGTATGGCTTTGGCATGACTACCTTTTTCTTCTTTTTTTTTTTTGTTTGTTTGGTTTGGTTGTTTGTTTGTTTTTTTTGGTTTTTTTTTTCATTTAGAAGTTTTGTTCTTTGGATCTGCTGAGGTTCTGTAAGGACTTTTTGTAAGAGTGTGGCCATGGATGAGTTGGTTGATGTAGTTGGATTCCCAAAAGCTTTTATTGTAAGCCTGTTGTAAAAGATTCCTTGGGAACCAGTGTGCTGTGAGACAAGGGAAGACTTCTCATGGAATCATAACTAATAGGAAATCAAGATTAGGAATTAGTCTTTTTGCCATATGGATAGAATTGCTTTTATCCAGCTCAATTTAACCGGGATCTTGTCAGGCACATGCTTTTCAGCATGTTTAAGTATCTGTTAAAAGAAAAGAAAACTGTCAGTAAAGAGTTGTAGAATGATCTCTCAGTTTTGAAGAACTGGGCAGGGAAAATAGGACTTCACATTTCATGTTGGTGGATGCTAAATAACGCAAACTGTTCTAACTTCATGTATGCCTTGATGGGTTTCTACTTATGAATTTTTAACCAATATTTCGTACGTAGGAAAGTGGTCTTGGAATTACACTTGATTATTTAAACAAAAAGTCACTTCCTAATATTGCTATCTTGAAAAGTAATGAGCTGTTTAGACAGGAAAGAAGAAACCATTGATATGTACAACTAGATCTGAGCATACCTTGAACCCAGTGTACAGTCTGCTATTGTGTTCTTGCCATTAGCCAAATGTGGTGAAACTGAACTGTTGTAAGATGCATTTTCTTTACAGGAACAATTGGAGTAGGACTTGTCAGTCTGGAAAGAAAATCAGTCAAAAACCCTGAAGTTCTCTAAAAGTATTTGTGTTGGAGAGAATGTTATTGGAGAAACATGAATATTTATTTATTTAATACAAAAACTAGAAGGCATCTGGTATTTATGTGAAATTTTTGTAATTTTCAAAATTGACCAGACAAATCAATAAAGGAAAACAACCAAGGACAATATAATTTAAAAAAATACAAGAAAACCCCCAAACCCAAAACCAGCCAAGCACGATAAAATCATGACAACTGTGGTTCACAGACCCCTTGAGCTGAAGGTTGTTGGAAGCTCAGGAGAGTAGTATCAAAGGAGCAGAGTGGTTGCCCTGTTCCCGGATTGGCATCTGATACTAGGTGGTGCCAGCGCAAATAATATTGACCTGACCCACTGTAGCCTTTCTAATGTAATGCAAAGAAAAAAGGCTACAGTGGGTCAGGCCCTCCCTACAAACTCCTGGCTTTTACATTTGTGCTCACAAGGCACTTTGTTGTTTAAAAGAAATGTGTTGTGCATCAGCCTGGACTTGGAGAAGTCGAAGCTGACTCAGTGCAAGGTGTCCAGCTGGGGTTTGAGGAGTGTCACAGGAGCCATCAGTGGCAGCAATCTGGAAGTCCTGCTGTTCATACTGGCAGCCTGTACCAGTTGTAATTATGCTGAGTATGTGAGTATGCTGAGTTTTTCATTCCAGAGGGAGCCTGTTGGTTGATTTGTACAATGAAATACCTCAGTGTTTCCATGTGGAAAACAAGAATTAGCTGTCAGGTGCAGTTAGTGGTGTTTCTGGTGTCTGGCAAAAGCAGTTTTAGGCTTGTCTCACAGAAGAACTGTGCTTCCTGATGTCAATTAAAGTTAGAATATTTTGTTTGTTTTTATTTTTAAATATTTGAGACACCTCACTTTTTCTTTCTGTTTCCTTTGTTAAGGCAACTGGGCATCCTTGTTGTCTCTAGGAGATAATGAAATCTCTAATTATTTCTCTCTAAATAAGATTCTGTCTTTATCTGGACTGTCAAAATAAATGGCTCTTATGGAGAAGTGACAACTTAAGTAAGTCACCTTCAAGTGACTGAAGTATCACTTGCATTTCAGTAATTACTGTAAACTAGGAAACCTGCATCACTATTAGTATTTTATAAATTGCCATGAAGTTCTACACTTGTGAGTTCTTCGTGTGTCCCTTGTGGAAGTGTGGTGTGTGAAGAGGCCATGCAGAAGTGATGGGCACGTGACACAAACATGGAGAGCTGGTGTAGCATTGAGCACTGCATGGCAACGCCAGGAGGTGGAAATGACAAAAGTGGCTGCAGATAGAAGTGTTGTACTTCTTTCTCTTACCATTTGTAAAGTTTTCATACCTTGCATATTTCTCTGTTTATGTAAGTGTAGATTTTCCACATGTTCTTGAAAGCTCTCTTCTTTTTTTTCCTTTTTCCCCAGGAAAATGGGTCATGGCAGACTTCAAAAACTTAAGGAAATTAACTCTTACTAAGTTCTATGTATCTTTTCTAGGAAGAACAAAACTTCAGTTATTCTCTGGGATAATAAAGAAGATTTTTTTTTCCCAAAGGACTATATAAACTTTTTTCTAATCAGTAACATTGCCTTCTTTTCTTTATTTTACCAGTTATTGGACAGCCTGCGAAGAGTAAGCGTCCCAAAGAACCTGGAGAAAACAAAATTAGGCCTGTTAACAAGAAAGTAAAACCCAAGAATGCCAAAATGAAGGAGAGAGAGTCTGTGGACTCCTCTTTGAAGTCGCAGTCCATACTGACACAGGTGATGGATAAAGGTCATTTCCAGAAACTAGCTGCCACCTTAAGCCTGGCTGCAGGACAAAGCATAGAGCTGCGATGTAAGGGGAGTAATGTCACTTGGAGCTATCCTTCTTATTTAGACACCTTTAAAGACTCCAGACTCAGGTAAGCTATTTTTCATTTTTTGCAGGAAAAATCCAGAACATTTTTTCTCTTACTGTGTTCAGCACCACTGGTGTTTTAGTTTGTTTGTGTGTTCATCTACATTTTTACGGTCGTGATGTTCTATTTTATAGTTTTTAGTGTCCACAAAAAGGATGAGCAATTTTTAGTCATCACCATTTGCACTGTGAGGTAGTCTTACAGCATGTGAATTCTGTTTCCTTCAGATGAATTTAAAATGAAGATGTTGTTCACCATTTGATCCAGCCACAAACAGGGAACCATGTTAGGGTTGGTCCAAAGTAAAACTCTCAAAATGTGTGTGTGGGTGTCAGGTGCTCACTACCAGCTCTGTTGCTCTGCAGAGATCTGCTCGTGTTGGGCTGTACTGGTTGCTAACGTGGCTACCAGGTAAGGTAGTAAGGTTAATTTCCTGAAGAGACTCAAACCCACATCTCTTAACTAGCAAAAAATACACCAGCCTTCATGCTAAGGAGCACGTGAGAGTAGTGGTTCAGTCAGAGTTGCCTTTGCATGCAAGTGAAATTGCAGGGCTTGTGTTGCATCTGAGTTTAATGCTGAGGGTTATTACTTTAAAGTGAGGAAAGCTTTTTCTTTCATCTTGTGACATCATAATGAAAACCACAGAAAGATTTGTTAGAGCAGGAAGAGGAACTGACTGCCCCACCATCTGAGTGTCCTGTTGCTCTGAGTATCTTTTCTGAGACTCTCCATACATTACCTTCCTGGTTTTTTCAGGGTAGTACGCGTAGCTAAATGTAGATTAAATGTAGTCATTTAGTTCTGGTTTAGAAAGAGGAGGGGCATATAAGGAGCTTAAGGATGTCTTGCACAGGCATTTTATTGCTCTGAGAAGTGTTTGTTTTCAGTGGCTGCTTTATGGAGACTGTGAAGCACTGTGAGTGATACCCAAAGAAAGAACAGTTAGGAGCTTTTCTTGGATTATTAGGTGAGAGGGACACAGAGGTATGAATCAAGATGTCAGCTGCTCTTGTCCTGTTGTTCCTAAATGAAGTACAAGTGAGTGTGCTCTCACTAAGTCACTCAGGTTATCTGAATCTCAGTGTTCATTACCAGTACATTATTTACAGGTGTGATGTTACCTTAAAGTCACTCCCAGTTAATTAGTTTTTCAGGTATATACTACTTCTTTCCACTTCTGTTTCCCAAGGGCAGTGTTGATGAATGGCAGTTACCCACTGTGATCTCTAGCACATCCTCCTGTAATTCATGAGCCAGTTCTCTGTGCCATTGTGTGCTTGTCCCTTGCTGGCTGAGGTGCTCAAGGACTGCCCTGGCTGAGTGCAAGGCTTCTGCCACAGTAAGTTACAGCAGCAGGCTGGTTCCTGCTGTGGGCTTATCACAGCAGTATCTGTCCAAAGGCCTCTTTAACCTGCTACTGCTTGTTCTTTTGCAAGGAATACTGTTCTATCCCGGATTCTTTCAGCAGGTGGCGTTTATTAGCTGCAGTACAGGCCTGCCCTCCAGCAAGCAGGGCTGGGTGAGCAAACCAGCAGGGAGTGTGCATGTAGCGGTGGCGGCGTCGTTCTTAATGCTTTGTGCATTTGCACATAGGTTGCTGGCGTGGTTTGGTCCTGTAGACCTCCAGGCTATGCCATCTGTGTGTCAGAATCTGGCATTGAAGAAGGCAGGGTGAGTATTCAGGGTTTCTGGAGAGGAATCTGAATGCTTCCTAATTAGTTATTTGATTGTGTATTCTTCTCATGCAAAATTAAGTGTTCTCTGTGATGCAAGAAATTGAGATAGTTTGGGAAAACAGAAAAAAGATATTTATGTCATGATTGTGTAATTTTCTGGTTTTCAGTTTGAAGTAATTTGGGATCCTTCAGCAATTTACATTTTTGTACTCAGTCAAGTTAACAGTGGTAGTTTAACCATGCAACAAAAGTTAGTTGCACCACATAAAATAAGTGCTGTAAAACATTTTGATAGGGGAGATGTAACTTGCCTAAGTATTTCTTTTCTTTTAGAAGTATGTAAGGCATGTACTTAAGGATCTGTATTGAAATATAATGGTCATTGCTTTTGAAATAAGTTGTTAAAGCAGTGAGGCTGTGTTTGACTAAATAATCACTTTTGAATACAAGCAGAAGATCCTAAAATTAACTAGAAAAATTGAAAGCATAGATTAGAAGCAGATTTCAGAGTCACAGAATAGTAATAATTTATGGAGACAGTGACCACAGAATCCTGTGCAATGTCTCCATTGTTACATTTTGATCACATTTTTAGCATGGCTTTGCTAATTATCTCAAGGTCTTTGCTGTAATAGGTGCCTGTGAAACAAAGTCTGCTCTACAGAATGTGAAATTAGAAATTTATGTTCTGTGGTTTCAGAAAGGTTTGATGGATTTTGACTGGAAGTACCATAAAGGTACCATGTTACTCAGCTCAGCTGGCAGTGTTCGTAAGTGAGCTGGCAATAGAAAAGGTCAGTAAAGCTATGACCTTTCCAGAGGAGCTCAGATCTTCCTCATGGAATATGCACACCATGCACCAAGCATCAACTGCAGTAGGCAATTTAAAAAGTTTTATTAATACATTACCTTCATTATTTTAAAACAAAATCATGAATATAGGGCTGAGGGGGGAGATTCAGAAAACTTATTAGCAATTAATAACCTACAGCAGAAATTGCTTAATGATCTAGGTAGATATATGTCCAGTATCTTCTAACATTTTTGAGTACTTAAAGATCAAGTATAAGATAATCCCCTCATTAGCAGTTAGTGAGGTGTGGGGCAAAACCCAAGCTAATTAACTGGGCTGGGCCTTTTTTACCTCAGATTTCCATGTGGGTCTTGCTGGACTTGGGGCACTGGTGCAAACCAGAATTGATGGCAGCAGCAGGGGGATGTGGTGGGGCCAAAAGGAGGTAATGGAAAATGAAGAAGGAGTGGGTTGGTGTGCCAGAGGAAAAGTGAAAAGGAGGAGAGACACTGGTGATGAGATCCCTGCAGTTGCTGGGGACTGATGACTACAGCTCTTCTGTTCATAGCAACAGATGCTCAGCCCTCCAGTCACTACTTTCCCCTTAAATAATAGAAGGTATGTACAAATTCAACTACTGTGGCATTTTAGCTTGCAACTAGTTAAATTTAGCATCAATGTAATGTATTTTCTATGGGAGGTTGCAAAAAGAAGTAGGGATAAAACTCAGATGTTTTGCCTCCATTCTATGGTTACCACATTTTAAAGTCACCCATATGGTAAGGAGAGTACAGCAATCTGGGGAACAATATGCCTTTTCTAAAAAGGAAGATTTTCATTAGAAAAGCCATTTCTGTAGTATTAGTGGCTATGCTTTCATTGAACTTGTTCTTGTAGGCGTACTCTACAACCTGGTAAATAAAATATTTTACTTACTGTACTAGAGAGTCTCAGGTTTTAATGGGTCTGGAGCTGTTACATGTGCTATAATTATCATATCTGAGGGAGTGAGAGATGCTGAGTGGAAAGGAGGAGGAGGACTCTTTGGCTGCTTCTTGCTGAGATTGAGCAGAAATTCAGCCTTTCCACTGCTCTAACTGGAGTACACAACAGTACACACTGAGACAATTTACTCAGCTTTAGAGACTGTAGTGTGCCATACAGCTCTTGAGAGAAAGCTTGAATCATGCAGACATGGTTCCCAGCTTAAGGACACACATAAGCTTGCTGCAGAACTTCAGCATTATCTGTAATGCTCTCTTGCTTTGTGCAGCACTTAAATACTTTTTGTCTGAAAACTTTGGGTGCTGGCTGAACTGGCCAAAAACATTGGTGGTGTTAACAGTCAGAGGCTGCTCTTGCACCCCTAGCATGGAAAGGCTGGAATGCTGTTTTGTAAGACTGTGAATAACAAATTAATGACTGGAGGCTCACCCAGAAACTGGATCTACAACATAAGAGAGGGATAAAAATAAGGGCAGGCGGATTTTCCCTTTACTAAAGCTTTATAGCAGAAAGCTGCTCTGACTTCACACAGTCTCTGTGCTGCCTGGCTGGAGCCTGGGTCTCCTCTGCTGAAGGCAAGCTGCTTTTGACTTTGTCTGATAAGTAAACTGACACAAAATGGAGCTGCTCTGATGGAAGAAGCTGGAGCAAACAGCTGGATGTGCATCACATGTACATTCCTGTGAGAGGAGATGTCTGGACAGGAGCACTACCACAAATATTGAGGAAACTGGGTGTGGTGGGGGCAGAATTAGACTGAAATTAGACTGCTTTCACTGAATGCATCCCACAGGCTTAGTGGGATGTCACTTGTGCTCATGTGTATAACTGAATTTGATTTTGCTGCTTGTGCTTTGAAGTTTTAAAGCTAAGGATTTTTTTCTTGTGTAAAACAGCAAGGTGTTATGTTCCTGTCCTAGTGAGTGTGTGTTTGAGATAAGCTCTCTTTTGTCGGTATGAATGCAGCTACTTGAGAGTAGTTGGGTAGATGCTCTTTGAGTGATGCTATGTACACTGTCTTTGTAGAGATTTTTACATGAATATATGTTTTAGCTTCTAAATGTGGCACAGTTTTCTCACAAAAAGTCTTCTGAATTTTATTTAAAGTTTGATAAGATGAATGTATGGAATAAGATTTTGGGCTATGTTTCTAGTATCTTTAAACAGTCTGGTAATGTTTGTATATACAACATTTTTGCTTTGTGACATCTGCAATGCAGCAAGGTTTTGGCTTCTGGGTCACATTTCCCAGCATCTAAAATACTAATGAAATACTAATAAAATGATAATTCACCTTGGAAATATTGATTAGCTGCAGAATTTACCATTTATACTTTATTTTATATGGCCTGTTTTGTCTGCTTAGTATGGTCATGTCTCAAGTTTCAACACCTGTACTCTCAGATGCCAGACTTTGTTATTGCATGTTTGAGGATGACTGCCTTGCTAGGTTATTACTGAATAGCTTGTTCACAGTTAAGAAGAACACACTGTACAATAATTAATTAAGTCTGACCTTATTTTGCTATCTGTTGGGATTTCAAGCTATAGCTCAGTGTCTGCATTAATGATTGGAGGCAGAAGAGTTCTGGCATAATGGTTGCCCTGTATTGTAGACATTTATTACTTGATCTTTGGAGAACATTTTATTCTGAGGTTGTCATATAGCCTGTGAAATGTGAACTGTGAAACTAAACAGTAATAATACAGACTAGGACATGTTTTGGGTTTATCTTTTCTTCCTTTTGGGTATGATACACAGCATGTTCTCTTGCAGATAGGAATCTCTCAAAAGTTACCCAAAAACTGAAGATAGTTTATAGTGTGAGGTAGTGCATATATTAAAAATGGAAAGGCTAATGCACCATAGTAACATGATTCTAAAAAACAGAATCAGACATGGTTGGGTAGAGCAAGTGCTTTAGTGGATAGGAATTGTGATTTGTCTGTTTATTGAGGCAGGCCTCAAAACTGCCCTGTGGTGGATCCATGTGTGTCTGTGTTGGTGTGGATCTAATGGTGTCTGAGGGCTTACTGGAAAAGGCAGCTCTCAGTTATCTGTGTTTGAGGTGTGTATTTGGTGTATTTTAATCTCTGAGCTGCTGGCCTGGCTGAAGGCTGAGATTTGGGTTATGTGCACTGCTGCTTGTGATCGCTGCTAATTGTGCAAACTGCTGGCAGAGCACCTGGGGAACCAGAACTCCTGGGAAGCACATGCAGCTGAAGTGGTGGCCTCTGTTTGAACAGTTATTCTGCCTGCAATGGACAGTTAAACAAAACTCTTAAAAAAGAATAACATTTTCTTCAAAGATGCTAATCCTGGAAAGAAATTATTCAGTCAGGTATCTGCCTTACAGAAAAACTACCACAATAGTAAGGATTAGGAGGGCAATAAATATTCAAAAAAACCCACAGTTGAATGAGTATGAGAGCTGTTCAGACTTAATGCAAGGTGTATATTTGTCCAAATCCCTTTTAAAACACTAAAAAGAAGTTCATTATCAAATACCTATATTGGAAAAAATCATTCCTGACTTGATTAGAAAGAAATTACCTTGTAACTCAACGTCTTGCAAAGGAAAGAGGGAACCCTTCATGACCTAGATCCACTACCATGAGAGGCAGCTGGTTGAAAATAATATTTTTAAGGGTTGGAGCAGCAGCAGAGTGCATCAGTACTGCCACGAGGCTGTGCTGACAGCATTCCCTGAGAACTGGTACTTTTGGGCCATTGCTTTTGCAATCCATCTAAAGTCAACCCAGTAGACTGCCAACCACACCACCATCTGTCTGCCAGAAAGAGCCAGGAAGGTAAACTTTAAAATATATTAAAAAATAACAAGGTGAGACTGTAGCTGCTGTATTTCATAACATAGGACCTTTGCCTTTTAGAATAATTGTCAGTATCTATGTAAATGTCTGCATATTTATAAATATTTGCACATTTGCAAATGTCAATCCACTGAGAGATGTGCCTGGAGAAGGAAAAAAAAAAAGCAAATCAAGTCTGAAATAATCACACAGGCTGAATTTTGTGTAGTTACGTGATGGCACTGCCAGTTCACTTCCAGCTGTTCTCAGGGTCATGCTCTAAAATAGCCAAGGGATGTGGAGGAAACTCCAGTGAGGTGGCTTAGACCACAGGAGTAGGTCTTGCAAAATGACTTAATTTGCAGGACAAATCCAGGCTGAGGTAGCAGCTCTTTGCAAGTGGAAACTTGGACTGGTATGTTAAAAATTGGAAAAACATACACACTGAAAGCAGGCAGAAATTATTAAACAAACTGCAAACTGTCAGTAGAGTACCTGCTACTAGCTACTTGTCAGTCATCTTTGTTAGGTTTTATTGAAGCAGTGTTACAGTATTGAAAAAGGACTGAGGTCCATGTGGGTTGATGTGTAGAATGAAGGAACAGGCTATACATGGACAAACTAGGCCAAAACATAGATGGACATATGGCCTAGAACAGTCACAGCCCAGTTTCAAAGTGGAGACTTGAAGGAATCCAAAAATTAACTGTACAAGACTTTTGCAAGTTCTTGTATGTAGTTAAAATCAATAAAACTGCTCATGTAAGCAATCTCTGCTGGACCAAAAGGGGAAGTGGCAACGGAGCTCTGAAAGTGAAAAGTGCTCAGTTGCAGAGAAGGAATAAAAAAAATCAAAAGTGGAAATGAGCTGACAGAAACATACAAGGAAATACATCTGTGCTTGTCTTTGCCTTTTGTTTTTATTTTTCCGCAGCATAAAGCAGCTTGACAGGCACAGTCAGCTGATCCTTGCAAACTCCACTGCAGCAGATACAGGTGAATACAGCTGCTGGCTTCAGCTGTGCAATGGTAACAAATGCAGGAAGGATGAGACTAAAACAGGGTCAACATACATCTTTTTCACAGGTAATTAACTCACTGGGGGATTATTAATGGAAATATATTTGCTGGTAAGGCAGGAATAATGCTATATCAGTGATTTCATTGTCAAGATTTTACTGCCACAGTTTTCATCTATTTTTAGTGGATGTTAATGAAGACTCTGTTGGTGGGCAGAAAATTACTTGCTTAGTGTGATTTTTTTTTTTTTTGAGTCCATTTTCCCTCAGATTATGCAAAATACCCAAAGTAATGGATAATGCAATGAAAAGCACATACTTTATAACAGACTTTCTGAGGATTTTCTACAAAACTAGTAAAAATGTTATAATTCTTGAAAATGTGTCTTGATAAAGAAAATAAATCTGTGCAGAAGATTCATTTTGTCATGGCATTCAGATGACCCCATGCACTCTCTCCCACTGTCACTTCATTCCAGTTACTTGCAGTGCCTTAAAAAACTCAGTAAGGCCACAATTTCTCTGAGGAATCCTTATAGCATGTTGAGAGGCAAAACACTCTTCAAGTGCTCATGATGTCCCCCAGAGCCTGTGCACAGTTTGCAGCTGCTTGGTACAACAGAGCTGAAATCAAATGGTTCATTTTTTCTTCTGGAAAGTGTTCCGAATAGTAAAACAACCTTTGATGCCTCATTAGAGCTAAAGTATTTGTGCCTAGAAAATGTTTTAGTACAAAATGGTAAGATAGGGTTGTTTGCAATACATTTTGGAGTTAAATTGGACCATGAGAAAGAAGAGCTTAATGTTTTTAGGATACATTCCTTAGAAGGGCTGGAATAAACTTTTCCGTCAAATTATTGTATAAATGCTTGTGCTAGAAAGAGGAATTTCAGATTTAGGTTTCCAAGAAGCATGCCAATTACAGAAATACTGCTCAACTGTGATTCTGAGGGCACTAAATATTTCCTCTACTTAGTACAGTAAATCAAACATTTTGACTAAAAGCATAGGTATAAAAAGTTGTAGCTTCAAAAAGTATATTTTTCTAATAGTCCTTATCTTACCAGTGGTGATTTGATCCAGATAAGTTTTTGGAAGCTTACTAAAAGACACTCCAAACTTTTCTTAGGATTAAAAAAATACTTCATTTTTATTTTCAATTTAATGTTTCTTTAATGCAAGCAATGCTCTTTTTTCTTTTGTGGGTGCATATTAAAATTAAGCCAAAGCTTTTTGTTTTAAATGTTGCTCACAGCTATTTTCTCTTGTCAAATGTACTTTTCTTTCTGTTTAACCAAGATGTAATTATTTCTGTAATTATCTTATCTCTTCTGCACAGACAAAGAGGAGCTTTTTGTACCTACTCCCAGTTATTTTGAGATTGTCTACCTGAACCCAGACAAACCTGCAGTCATCCCATGCCGTGTTACTACTCCTTCAGCAAAAGTGACTCTTCACAGGGAATTTCCAGCAGAAGAAATTGAAACAGATGGAACTGATATTTTTTATGATGCAAAGAAGGGTTTTGTCTTCCAGCACCCTTCTTCTGATCATAAAGGTATTGTCTACTGCAAAGCAGAGTCACAGGGAGCACCTCAGATTTCCATCAAATATCACCTACTATATGTGGAAGGTAAAGTGCAGTTTTCTCTGTGCTTAAATTGACTCTTCTGCTGACACTAAGAAAATAATTTTTAGAAAGTAAAATAAGTAATGTGAGTTTTAAAATCTTGATCAAAATATATGTGATAAAACATTTATCAAGTTTAAATTCCAGCAAGTTTCCCAGTTGAAAGGGGAAAGTTGCAGGTCTAAAACACCTGTTGCATTAAGCAGACTGATTCAAAACTGACTCTCAATTTTATCAGTGTGTTTAACTTTAGCAGCTGATTTTTTGTTTCTGAACACTGTCTCAGTTCCCAAGGGCCCACCCTCAACCACCATCGCGGTGTCATCGGGTAGAGCTGCACTCGGTGACGGAGTTCGTGTCGTCTGCACCGTCCTTGGGGAGCCAGATGTGGATGTGAGCTTCAGGTGGCAGTATCCAGGGCAAGAGGTAAGAGGTGTATGCCCTGCCTGAAAGGGTTTGTTCGTCACAAAGGCAGCATTTTGAATGCTTTTGCCAGTTCAGGCATGCTGGCAGGAGGAGGCAGCATATCCCCTTTCAACTTCAGCCTGTCTTTCCCTGAGAGTCTCCCTGAGAAGTCACACAGGGATGAGGCTGGAGAGCCCTGTTAGTAAAAATCAAATTCAGCAAAGCTCACTCCTCTGTCAGATTTCCATTCCAAAGATACTTTTCCTCTGGCAGGATTTCCTCAGACAGGGTCAAAGCCAAGCAGCATCAGGAGGCTGTTCTAGGGCAAGGCACAAGGCCCACCGCTGCCTCTGTGTTTGATATCCCTTCTTTCTCCATGGCTTGGGTGCATGAATTATCCCAGCACAGAATTTTTAAGCTTGCCGATATCCTGAAGCTGAATCTGCTTCTGCCCAGCCTCACCTGAAAGAATCCACAGGAAACACAATGTGAATCTGTGGTCTCTTTTCTTGCACAAAGTAAGATGTATCTGACTAGCATTACTGAAGGTCCCTTCTCTTTTCCCTCTAACCACCCTCACCTGTTACAGTAGGAGCTCATTTCTTAATCACTCTAGACCCAGCTTGGCCTTCCAAAACTCTGTATCTCATTAGTGTCCACCCTAGTTTTGCATCTTTCCCAGCCTGGTTTGCTGGCTGTTACTGGCCCAGCTGTTCCCAGTGGTTTTACTGCACCTGATGCATGCTGGCATGTGCATGTTTACACCTCTCTAGCACTGATAGAACATAAACAGCTAAAGCATGCAGGTTATCTCCCTTGTTTGCTGTGGATACCAGAGCTGCAGTGCAGGGCACATGGGCTATCAACAGAGGACTACACCCTCCCACTGCTCCCACCTACGGGGTGAGAGAGGCTTTGGCCTCTGGCCTGCCTCTGTGCTTATCCACTAGGGTAACCTATCCCAGCTCCAGCTGTGCCTGGGGATAGGGAGGGGAGAGTTGTGTTTGGGTTTCTGCCCCAACAGAAGGATCAAGTAAATGTCAGAGTACAGGCACTGCATACTTGTTGAAGACTTAACATTCATTGAGAGTGTTTACATACTGCAAAGAAAAAAGGTGGGGTGTAAGGAGAAGAGACAAGGACCATCAGTGATGCTGGTCATATAGACCTTTTATACAAGAAAAAGGACTGACATTGTTCTAAGATTCACTGGATGTTTCCATTCATGCTGCTGCTTTCAGTGCTGGGAGCTCAGGGGTGGTTTTGTCCCAGCCCACACCACCCAGCAGCTGGGCTCTCACCTACTGCCTGATTCCTGAGCAGAAGCAGCACATCAATCCCTGCTTGTCCCTAGGTATGGTGCATTGTGGAGACCCTCCTTTTACCTCTATAGTCAGTAACCTCTCCTGGTTTTTTTCCACTCAGTTGGTTTTTTTTTCTTGTTTCCCCTTTGCCACTCCCTGACAATTGCTGTGAATGCATACAGATCCACCCTTAATCTGATTCCATGCAACAGGCTTCAAAGCAGGCAGTTAGTTTGAGGAAAAATGGACTAGCAAGAGCCTAACCAGGTAAATAGGGTCCACCTTGCACAGTCTTTACCTTCACTTTCAGCAGGGTTAAGGACGTTCCACTTGCTATATTTAAGAAGTAACTTAAACTTGAATTAAGTGTGCAGTATTACTTGATTGTAGATAGCACTTAATTTTCAGGCTTGGAAAGGAGGTAGACCTTTGCTAAGTGGCTTAATTACTTTTAAAGGTTTAAGAATTTTTATTACATTTACAACTGCCAAGAGTTTTTATGAGGTTTTTTTTTTCTGAAGCTGGTAATGCCTGCCACTTCCTAGGCATTCACTGACTGCAATGTGACTCTTCCCTAAGTTTCAGGAAGACTGAGAGCTGCCTTTGTACTGGTCATTTTGCAAGTGTGAGATTGTAGCTTTGATTCTGTTTAAGTGTCTAACTTAACCTATTGCTACATCTAGCTTAAGCCTTGTAGTATTCATGTTGGTAAGTGGTTAATCCATCTATGTCATGAGGCAAGGGAGGATGGTTTCCACACAGAAATCTCTCTTGCATTTTTATCCCAGCTATTGGTATAGCAGAAGCCAGTGTGCTTAAAGCTGCTGACTAGCAGCTGCTGGATTTTGGAAGAAAAGAGACTGCCTCTGTCTGTCATTGGGCCAATTTCTCTTATCCAGCATTTTGTGACCTCCTGAGGTGCCAGGCAGTGTGACCTCATAACCAGTCCATTAGAGAACTCCTTTATAGAATTTGAAAAAAAAGTACCTTTTATTTAATAACAAAAAACCTCCAAACCAAACCAAAACCAAAAAAACCCAAAAAACCAAAACAACACCAACCATGAAAAGACATTATTTTATATAAAGGGGTTGGGGGGGGCAGGGGTTGTACTTTTGGCTTTGAAGTTACATATACATTTTGGAAAGCAGAATGTGAAGATTAACTCAGAAGTATTTGAGACTTATTACTGTTTGTTTCTATGTTATCTGATGTAGTGTTTTCTAAAACTAGAGGAGGAATTAGTTTTCAACATGTGACCTACAGCTATTCACTGTGCTAAAAGAGAATGAAAGCTCAGCTACCTCATGCCACTGCTGCCTTCTTTTTGAGACATGCTTGAAGTCTGAAAGTGAGCTCACACATCTATCTTGACACCTCCCCCAGGACACCCCACCTATTTGATCAGGTATCTAAATGCAACTTTAGTTAAGTGGCCCAAAACTGAGCTCACGCACAGGCTGCAGGCAGAGCTTTGGCAGGCCCAATTCCTGTGCTCGGAGTGGGAGAGCCATTGCATTATCCTCACCTGGCATAGCTTATTGGTACATCAATATTTAATGCAGCAATGTTGCTGCCACTGCCAGACACCTTCAGTTCCCTCACTTAGGGCTGACTTTTGGATTTAGGCTCGAACTCTCCAGCCTCCTGCTTCAAGGTGCTGGGGTGGTATCACTAAATACACTGTGAAATCACCTGTTTTACGTGGGTGGGTTGTTTTTGTTTTGTTTTGTTAACAGTCTGGGAGGCCTGTGATTATTCAAAACTTCTGGAGATTGATAAACAGAGGAATTGGCCATACTACAAGAATCTCAAGGAGTGTTCTTCTTGTGGAGGATTTTGAAGACACAGATGTGGGAAACTATGTCTGTATAGCTCAGAACCTACAAGGAGAAACAACAGTAGCTACCAAAGTTGAACTGAAGTGATAGAAAAGACTTCTGATTGTGGACTGACCTGTATGTTATTTGACATTATAGCCATTAATTTTCTTTGTTAATGTTTAAATGTAACTTCTCTCTCACTATTTCTTTTATATGTCAGTGCATTTCATGTTGACTAGCTTGACAGGCCACGACAGAGTTGACTCTGTCCAGCAGTAGTGAGTAGTGAGCTAATGAAACTACAGTGAAGCAGTAAAGTGTAAGTCTGAACATGCCTAGGGTGTGTGCATGTTTGCAAACAGGTGCTCTTTGGGCTTTCCTTTGCATATGGCCTTTCCCTCAGACTCTTGCAGGAGGTCAGCCCGCTGTGTGGAATGTGCAATTTTAATATTAAGAGTACTGTACACATTTAAAACAACAACAAAAAAGCAAACTAAAAAAACCTTGTAACAAAGTTAGCCAATAGCAGTTGTTTATTTTGCAAGAATAATTAAATTTCTGAACATTATGAAAACATAAATCTGTGTGTACTCATTTTCATATGTGTGTAAAGACAGACACAAAATTTTCTCTCCAGGTGAAGATGAATACCCTCTAGGACCTTAATATATATTTAATATCTCAAGAGACTTGTAAGTAGTTGGGTATGCTCGATTTTCCTCATGTTGCTGCATTCTTACACCCTTACAACATGAAGCTTACTTAATAGTTCACTTCTCTTTAGATGTCTGGTGTTTAGTAAATTATGTAGCAAATTATGGTTGCTAAAGGTAAAACTTGCATTTATTTATATATTAGCATTTACAGAACAAAAAAAAGGCAAAAAAAGCAAACATTAGAATAATGTTCAGTTTTACAGGAGAATTTCCTCTTAGGTTAATAGCAAGTTCAACTTCATTGTATTAATTTACTTAGGAGAAAAGGAAAGATATTTTCATTTACACAGAACTATACCTGGATAAATAAGCCACTGTCTTTCTCACCCTGGGTTCAGTTACCAGTACAAAGAAAGAGCTTGCCAGAGGAGAAGAACTTGATAACAACATTGTTGGACATTTTGGCAATGTTTGGTTTTTTTTCTCAGTCTCAAGCACCATCTTTATGTGGGCTAGAACTTTAAATACAAACCCACTCCTTAGTAGTGAAATGACAAAAAATATTTAATGCAAGCCATGTTACTTACAAGGCAAGTGAAAACCAGCTTATTCTGAACAGACAAGGAAGCAAAGCAGGAACTGGTCCCTTGGTCACACACTTCCCTCTGTTTCAGCCTGAGTTTGGAATTCCTGAAACTTTCTTCTACTGAAGGCCTGAGGTAGCCCTGTGCTCCAGCTAATTCAGACCTTTGAGCAGATGTGTGCAGCACTGTTTGGAACAGTGGCAGCTCTAAGTGCTAATGTAGAAATGGCAGCTTCCCAATAAAATCAATGATCTGATTAGTAGAGTAGCTAATGAAAACATTAGACAAGTTTGCTGAATGCCTTTTCTTCAGCATGCAGGAACCTAAACCAGTTTAACTGTTAAGAGAAATACCCCCATGGTAAAGACTGAAATGGTTCCATGCAGATCTCATGTAATAGCCTACATGGGGAACATCCCCCAGGAACTTTTTTTTATCTCTGGCCTCTGAAAATAAGATAGCTTAAAAAAAAATTAAAGCAGCATGCAATAGAACTGACTTTGAAGGTGTAAGAGGTGAGGTTAATCTGTTAAAATGTGTCAAGAACATTACACTGTAATCCAAAAGACTAAGTAGGTTATACAATTTCATAGTAATACCTATAAAGGGTCTTGTACTATTTTTTTTAGGGAAAAATGTCCTTTTATCAGGTGTTTTTTTTAATTCTGACCAAATTAACAATCTTTGACCTTCTAGATGAGGCTGTGCAATGTGTTAATTCCTTTTTAGCATTTTCATTCCTCAGAACAATGTCTTTCCCTTTGAACTAAAGGAGTTGTGCCAGCTTTTTGAATTTCAAAGTGAATTTGAGCCTATAATTCAACAATTTATTTCCTTCTCAAAGTATCTGGGAAGTGGGAGATCATGTCACCTGCCCACCCTTGTTCAACAGCACAGTGGAGGCATCACTTCCTTGGTGACAGTTTGGCTGGAAAAGACGGTGGAATTCCATTGCTTGAGTAGTGCCCTGGGGTGTAATGGTTATGCCTAACCATCATGTGCAGGTCTCAAGACTGATACAGAAGCAGAGCCTCTAAGGAAGAGTTTTGGTGGGTGTTACATCCTTTCTGTCCTTGTCCTCCCACCAAGAATGAGAATAATTCTTGTAATTGAAAACTATGAGAATTCTTTTACTATGTATTTTACACACTTTTTATTTTACCAAATGCCTCTTGGGCAGAGCTGATGGTACATTGATCAGTTTATTGCACATTTCCACCTAAATGAACAGTGACAGGGGAAGAGAATGAGGCCTGGAAAATAAAATGTGACTTGTCAAAGTTACAAGCCTAAAGCTGCTGCTGCTGTTATTTCCATTTCCATACCTGTGTCACTGCTCTTCTAAGGCAAGGCAGCAGCAGTGGTCAGAAGGTATTTTTTTCTTCAGGGTTCAGTGGTTATCCCAACTTTATGGTGACCTTTTTAGCTGCAGCTCAGCCCTAAATGATTTCCTGGCTGTCAGACAAGATCAGTGGTTGGTTACTGTCTAGAAGGAATTTCATGCATGAATTGCATGACACCAGTGTACATGGAAGTGTCTTTGGTCTTAGCAATGAGAAACATCAAGACTTAGCTCAAGGAAATGATTCACTTCAACTTTTATAAAAAATACAGTACAACTCATACAATAACCTTCAGAGAAAAGCATTGAAGGTGAACCATACTATGAATACTTTGAATGGTAACAAACTATGTGGTAGAGCTGTTAAATGTCACCATAGCTTCCTCTGAAACCCATCATTAGAGCTGGAACTGTGAAGTTGGAGAGTGAAGTTGGATATCTGAAGAAAATCACTTGTTCAATTGCTTGACCTTTGGCTTATGATGATGAGCAGGTTTCTAGCTTTTCCTGAAGAAACCTTATGCTAAAAATCCCAAATATGTAAAAGTTACCGGATTGAACAGTCTTTACTAACACATGGTACTTAAGTTAAACTTGAAATACTAATACTCAAACAGAGAAAAACATTGAAACAGTATTTACAGATTAGCAGAATTATTTAATTCTTTGAGACCAACAGGACAAACGCTAAACAGGTATTTCTGTTATCTGATTTCTACACATAAGCAGCCTTCATTTCTTCATAAAAGCATTAAAGAGTCTACTTGCAAGCAGTTTAGACATGAAGAGTCACCTGTACTGTGGAGGTAAATTATCAACAAATTAACAGTCTTTGTATTATCCACTATACCATACTTACTTTTCTTGTAGGGCAGCCTGGAAAAGCTTTCCCTGCTCTTGGTACAGGAAAGGCTATGCCATATTTAACCTTCAAATATCTTTGTGCAATCTGCTTGCATGTTTTATTTGAGGCATTACACTGCAACTGAAGTAATAAAGTTCTTACTGGTGGCTGGGTAAGTGTCCTTGTGACAGGACCTGTTACACTGCTGACCTCTAACTGGGGCTTTTCTCACCTACAGAATGTTCTGAAGAATCACAAGCAACCTCCATAGATCTCCTACCTACCCACAGCTAGGCAGGTACCTACCCTACCCATATATCTTCTACCCATACATCTAAGTGGAGGAACAAGGGGAAATTTTCTAAGGATAGCTGAGTAATTTGTGCCATGAAGCTTCACCATTGCGGTTCTGCTGTGCAGAGCAGATAGCAAGAGTTTTTAGTAAATGGAAAAATGTTCCTCCTTAGATTAAAGATCCTTTGACTAACATAAGCAGAAGAAAAATCCTTCAGTTGGTAGAAAATATTGTAAAGCATTCAGCTGAAATACATGCAATCAAATCTCTTTGACCGTAGAAAGAATGTTCTGAGACATACTTAAAGCCAAGTTGTAGCCAACATAGGATTTTCATAGTCAAATTTGAACCTCCTAGTAAACATTTTAAGTACTGACACCACTAATGAGTGGTATGTACAGTGCCCTAGAAAGGTTTAAAAGAAAGCATAATGTTCCCTAGGAATGGCACCCTTAACTTGTACATTATGAGAGGTTTAAGTAAATTTAATGGTGAAAGAGTCAATCACAAGTTTAAATATATTACAAATTTACTTACTGTATGAGCACTGTTAACAGTGTTGTTTCTATGTCTGTGCTCCTCATTATTAGCCAAGATTTTGCAAGTCTTAGGTAAAATACTTTGAAGTGGTTCTCCAGTTGAGTTCCCTAAATGCTTTCCCATGCCCTTGATTCCTGTCCCCAAGCTACTGAAAAAGTCAGGGAAACTCAGCCAGCTAGCAGCATTAGGTAACCAGCAGTGTAACAATGTCGTGGCCCTGCTGTGAAGCCCAAGCTACTCTAAGCATCAGTAGTATTTTCTAAGACTAATCTGAAGCTGAACCTGTTTTAGTAGGTACGGAGCAGTCATCTTAAACAGGTCTGATCTAGGGTGGAGCAAGCTATCCAATTACCCTGCTGAAGCCGAAACTCAGCATGTGGTATTTCCAGAAATGCTGACACTCTCATCCTCCAGTTCCAGCAGCCAGGACAACTTTTTCCCCTACTCTACAGAATCTCTTGAACAGGATTTTTCACCTGATGAACTGTCAAAACACCAATATCCTGCAGTCTAAGAGGGAAAGTATGGCAGAATTAGCAAGGTAAACTACACAGATCCCACCTCATCCTCAGGTGAATTTAGCCAACCCTGAGGAAAGTTAATACAAATGCTAACGCTTAAAAAGGCAAGGTGTGTCACCAGCTACATTGGAATTCACAAATTACTTAATCTTCTTGAGAACTGAATTAAGAGTGCACCTAGTTACAATTACTACATTTCTCTTTGGCTTTCAAATCTACATCTTGTTTATCCTCAGGAACAGACATACTATTTTGGGGAAATCAGTGCCTCCTTTTCAGCAGGTAAGATGCCAGGTCTAGGCTTCTAAACTTGCCACTCAGCTAAGAACTTCTGACCTTTAGGGGTTACTGTGGTTCTGACTACAACCCTGTTGACTTCAAATCCAAAATCCATTGCACTCTGCAGAAAAAGTCCTCATAAATGGCAGAGTTGTGCATGGACATGAAACCAAGAACCCACGCAAAATATGGCCGCAATTCATTTTGTTTTTAAAATGAATTCAAAGTTGCATACTCGGGTTGGCCAAGACTAATAAGTCAGTTGACAGAGGTCTTCATGGCATTTTTTTACCAGCCAGAATGATGAAGGAAATTACCTTGCAGTACCAGTGGCAGTTTCTCCTCATTCCCAGGCAAGGGTACTCTGTTAAGCATGCATACTGAGAGCAGTACCAAGGAAGTACATGTCAATGTATAGGCTTCAGCTTTTATCCTTTATTACGTACACAGCAAAGAAGGCAGCATTAGACACACGCACAGTGTGTTACACCCACTCCATCCACGGCACACACACACGCACACACACAGCCTTAAAAAAGTGTCGGTGATAAGGAACATATTATAAAGGTTGTGATCTTTATCTCTAAGCCCCTGAGCTTCTTCTTATGGTTAGGTGAGAAGGCAACAAACAAGTCTTTCCTTGCTCTATAAGTGCTTTGTGCAACGATGTCCATAGAGGTCATAAGTCTTTTTGGGAGGAGTGAATGTCTTACTCCCATATTCACAGTCTCCTATCGCTGTTTTTGCAACACATAGTTTCCAGTTATGTTCAGTTGTCATAGGCTGCTAATATAGCTCTTGCTCCTGTGATTAAAAGTTAGGAAAGGTTCTGCAGATCAGAAATGAAATGCAGGCCCCTCTTTCTCTCAAGAGATGTCATCTTGGTGACACTGCAGGACTAGAGAAGTTACCAGAATTTCGTGGGGACTGAAGAGGCACAGATGAAGAACTGGGAGATAGCTTTCTTGGGCTGCATAGATCACCATTGTGCAACTTCCACAAAAGTTCTTCATTTTCCATTGACAGGCGTTTGTTTACTTTTGATTCTTTCTCTAGTGACTCCTGTAAAACAGCTTGCTCTGTAGAAAGTTGCCTGCAAATGGAAGATTTACATCAGAACATATAATCCAACTTAGAGGCTGCAGTATTAAAACTTAAAGAAAGGTTTGAAAGTGCATAAGCCTTTGCTTGGCTCACAACTGAATTCCAGCTTTAACTGGAGGACTGAGCATGTTCTCATTCTAGCTATATTTAAACTGGTAGCTTGCAGAAAGCAGGAGAAAGTCCCAGTAAGAAACATCCATAAGGACCAGAAAAAGCATCAGAAAAGTGAGGCTTTAAACAACACATGCTTTTAAACAGCTGGGCTGGAGCCTTTGGGTCTTGTTGCAGGCTCAGCTCAACATGGAAGCTCCAGATTTCTTCACACCAGAAGAGTCTGGCCATCCATTTAAGCAACCGCTAGGAGGAGCTCAGACCTGTTTTATTCATGTTAAATATTACTGTTACTGCTAAATAAACCACACTGATCTAAACTGGGGACAGATCACTCACTGAAGTGGTTATAAGTATGACCTAAGTCTAGCTTACAAGCCAGTAGTACTTAAAAAGGTCAATCTTTGTATGATGGTATTTCTGAGTTGCTTTTTCTTCCTTAAAATACTGGAGTACTAAGAACATACTAAACCTTTATCCCCTTTCAAAATGTTCCTGCTTGTTAACTGTAGAAAGGAATGCACATTTGTAGAGATACAAGTGGGGAAGAAATGGATGTGTTCTTTCACAGAGTACTAAAAAACTGTATTCACCAATACTTCAAGAGAATTTTCTTTCTTGTCACAGGAACCCCTTCCCCCTGATTAAAGGCATCTAAATGCCCACAGATATTTTTCACCTTGAAAGCTCCATATGTTTGTCCATCCGAGCTTTTAATTCTTCATTTTCTTGCTGAACCTTCTTTAATTTATCCATTAAGATTGTGTTGTTCTCCACCTTGGAAAGAAGGTCACAGTTTGAAATAAAACCCATACGTGCACTCATCAAGCTTCTGACTGAGCTATCAGAGATGTTGGCAATCTGTAGTTTGCAGAGCTTGTTACAGTACACACAGAAACATCCTACTTAGCTTATCCCTGCATAACACTGGCGCTTGGCCACTAGTGCTGATGAGATGCCAACAAGGAGGATTGCTGTTAACCAGCACATTCCAGTAATTTCTGCCAGTGATGGGCAGTTTTAGACACTGTAGTACCTTTCTAGACAGAAGACTGTCTAGAAATAACATGACAAATTCAAGAGTTCCCCTGAAAAACAGATTTCCCTATTGCTCTTCTGATTCCGCATCACTGCTGGAGGACGTTATAAAAAATAAAAGGAAAAACTGATTAAGTGGTTGCATGGTCCAAGGCCTTTCACACTGAGGCCAGTGTCTGTTGGAAAAGATGAAGGTTTGCTAGCAATTTGCCAGTAATTGCAGACTAGAGTAACATACACTGCTGCACAATACTGAACAACTGACATCAATGTGTTCCTTTGTGTCCAAACCTCTTTCTATACTTCCTCATTAAAGTCTTGCTTAAGCAAGTATTACAACAGTGTTCAAAGGCCCCACCCAGGAGAAGGACTCTGTCCTGTCACAAATAACAGCATGCTAAGGGATTACAAGTCCTGCCTCTGAAATTGAATTTTCATGTGGAATTACACACAGGTCAAAGAGACAGTCACACAGCTAAACAAACAGCTTAACAGGTAAAATGATTGGCCTAAGCTAATCAAGACTTACTCCATTTAATATTTGATCCCTTCTTGTTAAATTAGGATCATTTCCTTCCTAATGTATTCCTGACACTGCAATCTATCTTCCATACCACTTGAGCAACGTAGCAGGTAAGGATTCTGTTCTTTAGGGGAAGAGGCTCCCAGATAACTGTACTAACATAGCAATAGTTATGCAAACCAGTAGTTGTCTTAAGACATTAAAAGGTCATTTAGAGCATCGGGTCATTTTTTTGTTTGCCTCTTGATATATATCCCAAAACTGTACCTGCAACGTGAGCATGTCCCATCATGAATTCCTGTTTCCTTTTAAACAAAAACTATTAATTCTTGCATGTAAGTCTGTCCAGCCCAAGTTCATTATAGGAACACAAGTCAGAGACACAGCCCCAGCATGCCAGACCCAAGGAATGCTCACCAGCTTTTCCATCTTCATTAGCTTTATGTCCTGCTGATGGAGTTTCTCATTCTTGATCTCCAGCACTGCTTTCAAACTTTCCAGCTCCTGTTCCAGGTACATAATCTGTGGGTTTTTCTGAAAGATTGCCAGAGAGTTTGCTTAGTATCCTGAATTTCAGGAATAATTTAGATGTTTCTCTGCTATTCTGAAAAAACAAGGAAATAATTAAGGTAACGAGTTACTTGTTCTAAGTGAAATCAAGTCAAACACTAGAATAAATAACAAGATCTGATATCACTTTCTCCTTGTTTTTTGTTTGTCCTTCAGGGTAGGTGGACAGTTGCAGTTGCTTCATCAGAAGTTGTTCAGAAAACACTTAATGCACAGACATGAAAAACTCTTGTGAGTCAAAGGAAGGCATGAATGCTGTCACAGCAAAACTTGTTTCACAGGAGTGTCCAAAGGCCTTAAGGCTAGGAGTTCCAAAATCTATTTCATATTACTCATAACCCATCCCAAGAGATAATTAGAGTAAACATTTGAAGAGTTTTCAGGCACTGGAATACTTCAAAAAAGCACCAGAAGTTTAAGTTCTGAACTTGACTGTAGCTTATGTTCCCTGGTTTGAGTCTGAAAGTAGCTTTCATAAGCAGAAATTGAAAGTTTTCAGCTTTACCTTCTTCTGAAGCCTGAAAATGCAACTATACATAAAAATTTTGCCTTGGTACACATCCATAACTTATCTACAATATAGCAAGTTAGGACTTTTTTAGTTTTCCTTTTTGTATTGTTTTCTGGGAGGTGGAAGGGAGATCAGGAGGAGGCCGCAGCAGGGTAAGATGTGGCTGCCTCAAGGACCTGTTTTCCAGAGTAAGAAACCATTCAAACACTGCAGAGTAAAACAGATTGCATTTCAAGGCAGTCACAGCCAAAAAAAGGGAAAATAGAGCAAGTCTGAGTCCACTTCCAGATAGTGAGAACGGAACATGAGCTGAACTCAATCAATGATTAATCATGTTGTGTAACTAAGTTTATCTTCAAAATCAAACAAAACTTGTTTCAGTGCATTTGGGTAAGAACACAGGTGCACTGCACTGAGTGACAGCTTCACTGCCACACCACAAACCTCAGACAGGAGGGCAGTGCCTGCAGCCTTGTGGGGTGTGGGCCCACAAGCACAGGGCCAGCACAGGTCACAAGTAATAGGGGCTCCATCACCTAGGTCATTCTCCTGCTTGTTTTTAAGGCCTGTTGCAGTAGTGGTTCTTGTTTAACTTTTGAGAAGTCAGTGTGAGGGTGAAGCATGCTGTGTGAGGGTGAAGCATGCTGTGCTGCCTCAGTGAAGACAGCAGACAATCTGTTCCTGTTTTGTGACTTTGACATGGAATCTAGGAGCTAACAAGGAAAGCAATCCTGAAAAGCTGAAATGTTACAGTATGTTCAATATTCACTTTATTTTCTTTCTCTCAAGTCCAGGGGTCTTAAAATGTGTTTTTAAAGTCAAGTGTGAGCCTCCACATTAGCTGCTCAGAGGAGAACACACAGGCAAATAAAAAGAGTGAAAGGCCTACATCTTTTAGCAAAAACCTGGGAATATCAAGTGACACTACCTAAATGATACCAGAGAGGTGGAAATACATCTCTCTCTTCAAAGGGCTATTGGGAATTCCAATACTGCAGAATTAGTGCTTAGTACAGAAGAGTATGCTGAGTCAAACTGGTGCTTTTCCAAAGACAAGTCTCAAGCTTATCAAGCATCTTATGCTGCCAGGAAAGCACAAAGCACATTTGCAGTGTAAAGGCACTTGACTATTGCTCCTTTAATTTAGGCAACATCTGAGCGTGCCTGTGGAATTACAGCTCAAACTCCCACTGCCACAGCAACATACTGTGGTTTCAGATCTTGTGGCAGCTATGTCCTGCTACTAGAATAAGCAATAAGAGAAAACAATACAGAACAAATTCCAGTGAAAACTAGGGCAACTTCCACTAGAGGCATCCTAAGTGAGGCTTTAAGCATGGAATTTGTCTTTGTGGAATAAACAATACTACTGGTATTCCACTTACTTCTGAGTAACCAGAAAGATAAGCATGTTTGTGTCTAAGCCCCACCACCCAGTGCATTAAAAAACTTTCTCTCAGAACACATTTCTCTCCCAGGAAAGAAGCAATATCAGAGGCAATAGCAGCCTTGGGAGGAAAGGCAGGACAAAATAAAAGTTTCTTTGAAGGATATATCGGCAAAAAGTAAGAATCAACATTTGAATAAATGCATTAGAAATGAGCTTTGCAGTAGTGATGCAAGCCCACACTGATCATAGCACTGGTAGAGCAGTTACTGACTGTGCACAAAAATGCTGTGGTACAACTCCTGTACACACACGGGTCTTCAGTTCAGCTTAGGTAGGCTATTATTTACACCTCTGACTTTGACACTCAACAGCTTTATAGAATTATAATGGTAAAGTTAATACACAGCATCACAGTGCTTGTGAAAAATGTCTGGCTGATGAGCCATTTACAAAAAAGTATTACTAAGTATGGGACCCCTATCAGGCTTCACTGCAAATTTTTTGCATTATGCAATAAAATAAACCCAGGCAAGATCTGTTCATCCACATTACTGTGGAAGATCAAGACTTACGAGATTGGCTTTTTCTTTGGCTATTTGTTTTTGTTCTTCTAATTTCAGCTTCTCACTCAGAGAGTTGTTTTCACTTTTTAGTTCATCGATTTTCTTCTGAAATGTAAATATATTGTATCATTAGGCCAAGAATTCAGTGCATATATCCAAACTGCTTTTCAAGTTTTAAATTGTTGCAATGCACCCAGCCCTTAACAAACCTCCAGCAACTCCTGCTTCTCTTTGAAGGAATCTTCAAGCGACTTCCTTTCAGATTCATGGGTACTCTTGAGCTCTAAAACAAATTATTTTTGCAGATTTTTAATATCACATAAGGCATGAAAGAAAATTCTTTTTGAAAATAAACAGCTTGAAGAGCCAGCCTACAAATATATGCATAGATACAGTTGATGGCAACACGGAACATTTATCATTAACTGATGCAAAGCATTTATGAAGTATCAGATTTATTCCTACTTCAGATTTGCTGATTGTCCTCTCACATATCCATTTCATTAGCAAACAGCCTGTCAGTTTTGGGAACATTTATCTGCATGCAACAAATGGGTTTACTAAGCACTGGTCACATCTGACACAAGTTGAGTTTATGGAAGAAAACAAAGCAAAAATTGAAATTGTTGAAATTGAAACTTCTAAAAAAACGTTTATTTTCCTACTTTGGATGCCATGCAAAGGAGTTTGCTCTTTGAAAGCAATAAAAGCATGACCAGTCTTCAAGACAAAAAAGTATCACTGAAAACTCAGCTCTCAAGTGGAGTGGAAGGAGTATGGAAATCATCATCCCTTAAATCAATGAGACACAATATCATTTAAACCTGAGCACGTCACCACCCCCTCCCTGAAAAACACCTCTGCCACAGTGTACAGTACACAGTGTAGGATATTTCTTAGCATATCCATGTCATTATGGAAATCACACCACCCTACTCATCCTCATTTTTAGTTCTGAGGTGCTCCTTACAGAACCAGGGGATGGGAGGAATTATTCAGTCACTTGAGATTTTTGAGGGCAATTCAGGCGTCTTTTACTGCAAGAAAAAGTCACTTTCACTTAAAGTGTTTATAAAGTTTCATTCAACTACAACGGCATCATGGTTTTTGCTGTATGTAAAATAAGACTTGTCAGTGCCAACAGAAGGAATTCAGCCAATGTTTTTAAAAATTAAACAAAGAACAGCAAAGTGGACACAATGATCAAAACACCTGAATACTTTTGTTTGTGACTAGCAGTACTATAGCATACGTACTTAAATACAAAATACTTGCCTGAAAAAGAGGATTCATACTCCTTTTTCAGCTCCTCTACTTTTTCTGAGTGCCTGTTTTCAAGTTCCAGCTTAAAGCTTTCATGTGTGGTATTTAAATTGTCCACCTGCAATATGACAACATGATTTCTCTCCCCTTACATGTATCAACTTAACCCTTGTTTAAAGCATTGTTTCAATGGCTTTACGCACTATGTCAAGTACATTTAAAATGGTCTAGCAGGATTCAAAAGAAGCTAAGCCATGTACAAGGCTTAATAAATGAGAATGATGCCTTACAGTTTACCACTACCAGAGTAAAACGTGTCCATCTCTCACAAGCATTGAGTTGCAAAGCAACGTCAGAGGGCAGATGTGTTTCTAGAAATCTTAAAACTCAAGCTGACCCAAATAGCCCATGGAGCTCTAGAAATAACTTAAGCTGGCAGAACACAACCAATCTCCACCACATTTAAACATAAGCCCAAGATCTGCACAGCTTAGTGTGGTAGTATTTTTTATTGCTGCAATGAAGTGGAATTTCACATTAAATAACTGTTATTAGCAAAACCCAGGATTCTCTGAAGACTCATTTGTAGCAGAAAGCAGTTGCTAGAGAACTTTTCTACTTTGAGTGATACAAACCTGCTCCTGGAGTTGGGCTTTATACTTTTCAGCTTCCTCAATGCAGATACTTCGGAGTTTCTCACATTCTGCAGTGTAAAACTGTTTAAGCTTCTCCTCCACCTCAGCTAAGTCATCATTATGTTTCTGGTTTAACTTCTGCAAATACCCTTCATAAGCAATTTGCAGTTCATTCCTGTCTCTTTCCAATTTCTCACAAGCTGCAGAAGTGGTTACTGAAGATGTCAAAAGAAAAAAAAAAAGAAAGGAATTGGATCAAGTTCAATACAAAAGTCACATCTTCATTTACAGGTATTAAAAACGGTGAACACATTACACAGCAACATGGTTATATACAAAGACAAAGATGATTTATCCATTAAATGTGTGCCTCCAAGGACACATGAACAGATCTTCACAAAACTATCAAATTCCATGTTTCTTAGGCTGAGAATGAATTGAACCCAGCTAAGCCAGGAGCCCACATAAAAAGCACTGTTGTGTGGCAGATTGACATGACATGGAAGGAGGAATGTCTCATGAGGGACACTGAAGAGCTCCAATAAAAAAATTAATTGTATTTGCTACTTTACCTTATTTGATCCCATTCAGTAGAATATTTGTCAGAGTACTTCACTTTTTGACATAGAAACCACTTAGCTAAATTTGAAAGTCCTGATTTCCTGAAAACTGTAAGTTTAATGACACCCATACTCAGACATACAGCAAAGAAGCAATTCTAGCTTGACATGGACCTGATACAGATCTGCCAATCTGAAAGATACCTTCTTGTGTTTATGCATGAGATATTTAAATATGCAAGACAGAAAATGGTTTTGGGCAAAAAGTGCAGAGTATTAAGAAAAGATAAATGCTCTGCAACTCTCTTTACATCTGCATTAACACAGGTCTGCTAAGAAGGCTGCCTAAGTTTGTCTCCCCATATTTGCAGCTGCTTGCTTGAAAGGCAAAACAGAAGTTAGCAACTTTAATTTTTGAGTTTGAAATATAGCATGTCCAAGTCCAGCCAGCCAGGCCGGAATGGGAGGAGTCATCCTCCTACTGTTAATATGACTGCAGCAAATGCCTGATGCAGTTCCAGCTGCACCCAAAGCCTGGAAGCAAGGTGAAACAGCATCTCTAACCCAAGTGTGTGGTCACTGACCTTGTGCAAAACAGGTTCTATACAGACTCTATAGTGCCATGGTTTAAAATAAATTAGTCAGAGGAGTGGCTGTTTAGGAGAAAAATCAACTAAAATGTTAACTTGATCCTCAAAGGCAGAAATCATGCATGCATGCACTTCACAGCAGACTGGCACACTGCCCAAACAGTGAAAATATAAACTCTATGTAAAAGTATGGGAAAAGGCAAGGATTTCTGTACAGGCAGTACAGGAAATTCTCATCACAAGAGTGCTTGAGCCTTAAGATAAATAAATTACAGTATCCTCAGGGACTGATTCCCAAAGTAGTAATGGGTCAGCTGAAGGGAAAGCAGCCTGCCCCAGCAGAGTGCCTCAAGTTACATGTGTCTTACTCTTCTTTGCTACAGCTCATTAAAAGCATGTGAATAACCTGATGGATGATACTCTTTTAAAGGAACTGAAAATAATCTTGGCCCTGCTACCATCACTTGGAACCTACAGTGGAACTAGAAAGTGTTAAGAGAGTGAGCTGTACTGCATGGAAATCAATCTACATGTGTGCCTACCTGAATTAGGCTTAGCAGCAAGCTCAGCTATGCTGGGTCTGTGCAAAGGATGTGCTGATCTGGACAGATTTAGGCCAAGCTCTTCATTCTCTGATTGGCAACGATGCAACAGAGGCTCAACTGAAACCTACCACAACATTCTCTGCAACCCAAGCAGATTTCACAGTTTTTGCTACCTTCTGCAGCAGCACCAAAATAAATTTTTGCTCCCCTATCTTTATTCGTTTCAGAAACTTCTCTTACAACTGCTCCCTTAGGGAAAGGGAAAAAAAAAAATAGCTTTCACACTACTACCACATTGCAATGGCACAAAGTTATTGAATATATATACTCTGCATTGCCACATTTTTGGAGAAGAGGTAACACCACTGTTAGGAGACACTGTATTACAATGCCAAGAACCAGGCAGCAAGCCAAATGGAGATGTTACACAGCCAACCACGTGCAGATGGAGCTGACCTTCTACAGCAGGGTAAGGGCATAGCTGAGAGGCAGGCAACTTGCATGGCTCAGTTGAGGTAACTGCAGCAAAACGCTTCAAATGACCCACTTCATTTATAACCAACAGAGGAAGAAGCATCAAATTCCTTATTTGCAAGGCCAGAGCTATTCATTTGCCTCCAGTTAGCCAGAGGAATTTGCTGCCTATCATTGCCTTATCTTTAAATGTCAGCACGCAGAGCTTCAGATGATGCAAAGCACTTCAGAAAAAAAGCAAATAGCAAACCACACCTTTGTCAAAGAAAACAGACACATCAGTTCCCCTTCAGGCAGTTTGCAATTCAGATTTATGAGAGGACTAATGTTACAAAGGCAAACAAAAGACTTTTGAAACTTGCACTAGCAGTTCAAAGTTGTTACCGTAAAGGTAACTTGGCCTCCACAAAGCTGGAGGCTGCAACGCTTCCTTGCACATCACAAGCCTGACTTATATCCCTGCCATCCAAACAAGAAGCAGAACTCCTACACAACCAGGGAGCTCCCAGTATCATGGTGGTGCAAGAAACTGGCCGTGGTTTTTCTTGATTTCAGGAAAAACACCAACTAAAGAATTGTTAATTTGAAATTATGAGATGTCCCATAAACCAAAGCTTATCTAAATACTTGAGATTGAAATGGGTGCAGCAAGTATTTTGCACAGTCCTGTCCCTCTGCAGACTGAATAATGTATTTTATGACTGCTCTGCTTTTTTTTAAGAAAGTTGCCTTTTTCATGATTTGTCCCAAATTCCTTAATTTGGCCATTTAGCCACTGGCTAACCAAAGCTGATTGCTGCTCAACTGAAGAGTAATCTCACTGAACTCATGCCAAATTTGAAAAAAAATTTTGTAACTGGAACATGTGTTTTTCTAGTAGCAAACACACAAATCTATTTCAACTTCTTGTCCACTTCAGAGATACCTGAAGTGCATACCTCAGAGTTTTTGTACAGTACTACTGTGTTTCCTTTCCCTTCTTGAAGTGATTTTCTCCACAATTCCACATCTTTAGAACACAAACCTTGAGCAAAAAAAAAAAAAACCCAAGAGGAAACAAACGGTCCAACAGCATTTCAGGAAAAATCAAGCCAGAGAGATTAATAGATGCACTATTTGTTTGTCTGTGAAGTTTGCTCCCTTTTACCTGCAACACTAAACAGTTTTAAGGATAGTGTATATGGAATGCTATACTTGGCAGCCAGAAGCAATCTTTTCACTTTATTCATATAGCATAGCCATTAATTCATTTTTCCCCCTCCAAATATTAATATTTTTTCCTCCACTTGGTTGTCCCAGCCTCTCTTCCCAATCATACAACTGTCTGTCCCTGTATCAGTACAGCAGGGAGCAAGATTAATCTGTGGTTTTAGGCTTCTTAACACCTCTAATTATAAATGAAGAGCCCCATTCTTTTCCATTCAACCATGACCTTTAGAAATCATGAAAAGTTTCTGAGATTTGGTAACAGCAAATCTTCAGAGCAGAAATGCTGGTTTTGACATATAAAATAACCCTTTATTTGTAGTAGTTAACATCAGCCACTTGCATCTTGGGTATTTCACTACAAAGCTTTTTAAATGCCAAAATCATAAAACAAATGCTTGCAAGAGCAGCATGAAGAACCAGGCACATGGCAACTCCCTGCACAGTGCAACAGCAGCACATCCAAACCACAGCAACAGTGGCTGCAGCTGAAGGAGAGGACTACAAAAATTGTCTTTCTATCTCCAAGAAAGCTATTTTGTATTTTCACTAAAAGTAGCCAAGAGATAAGACCTTACAAATGTGCATCCCCTTTCACTTTTTTTTCTTGCTCTAATTATAAAACCATCATCCAATACAGCCCTTATGGCTAAACTGCTTAGCTTAAACATGTTTCAATTTACATTCCCCTAAAGCTACCATAACCATAGCTCTAAGATAAAATACAATGGATTTTTTGAACCCTGAATTAAATGGTTTGCAAACAGCAGTTATCTTCATAAAATTGTCCAAGTCACTCACTGGCCTAGTTATGATTTATGAAAAGGCATTAGACTGTCTGAAATTCTAAACCACAGTTCACTAGGACAGTAAACTGACAGCATTTTAATAGATGTGGGAGATGTGAAATGGGGATAATTACCACAAAAAAAGCCCAAGTATTTAGTACTACGTGATATTACACTGCACTAACATTTAATTGCTCAAACCTTGTATTTCACACTGCAAGCTGTATGTTCTCTTGACCAGTAAATCTGCTATAGACAGGCTCATTTCCTTCTCTTTACAATATATATATATTTATATCTATATAGTAATTAATTTATGGTATTGGCAGATTCTCAATATTGAAAATTCTTCTTCCCAAAAATGCTTTCAAGTTTATGACCAGGTTTCTCTTCATTCTCTTTCTGGTGTTACTTCCATAATGAGACTAATTATAGAGGACATTAAACCACATTGCATATTTTTGTTCTTGGGCAAGTTAGACAAGGCAGGTAGCCAAAGAAGCCTGCTTTAAGCAACATTTAAGCAGGTATGATTGAATAAATAACGTGAAGCACTCAATTCTCTGCTGGGAAGTAAATTCACATCCCATGTGCTGCGAACGCTACAAGTGACAGAATGTTCAAGCAGGCAAACAGGCAAGTCTGTGAGGTGTGGCAAGTCAGGCCCTGTCTCAAATAAGTGAAAGAAGCATCTACCTATTATTAAATATTGTTACAGATCACCTTAACCTGAAAACCGAATCACATTCACTGTAAAACACAACTGTCTCTTCTATCTGAACTTCCAAAGCATCTTGAAGATAATTTAGTAACAAAAAAGAACACAAAGGTATTCGGAAGGAAATACATTTAGCAATTGCCACACAGCAGCTGGAGGTGAGAGAGAGGGGTTTGGCATTTGGCTGTCTGTCCAGGGTACACACAGGCCTCTCCAGGCCACGCAGAAACGCTCACCAATGGAAATGTTCAAAGGGCCAAGGTTGGCGCCAGCTGAGTCAACTTTGCACCTGCTATCTTGTAGCAGGACTCAGCTGGACCACATCCAGCATGGCTGCAAGGAGGCTCTGACACAATGTGGAGTGCAATTGATTTAGAGGAATAGTTTCATACCTCTCAAGAAATATGCAGCCCTTGCAATTTCTACTTACATAATTAAACGAGTAATTAGAAGTTTACGTACTAGCTTGCATCTTAAGAGAAACAGTTAACAAGCAGGACATCCTTAGCTGCTCCAGGCTCCCAGAACTACTGCGCTTTCATTTAAGCCAGTATCAGTAAACCAGTAGCTGGAGATTTTAATGAAGTCCAAGTTCAGAACCCAACTGTTACTGATTTTGAACTCCCTTTGGAAAAGCCCATCCCCAAACACCTATCACTGCTAATCCTTGCACATGTTTCCTGCTACTGAGAGCAGAAAGCACTGTCTGGTAACCATCACCTGGCTGGCACAGTCACATTCTGGGACAGGAATGCCTATTTAAACCATTTAACAAAAAGGTAGAAATGGTCATACACAATAACCCTGCAAAACAGACCATTTGACAGCAAGTAAATTTGGTCTTGCAAGGTAAATCAAGGAGCTTGGGAACATGCACCATTAAACTTCAAAGTAAGAAACTGAGAAGTCTAAACTGCACAAGCTTCAGGATACCCTCAAACTCAGCAGCATTGCAGAGAACAGGCTCCTCCTCTCCTACAGAGAACACTGGGCTGTGCAGACCCGGCTCCTTCTCAAGAGTGTCTGTCCCCAGACTGCAAACCAACAGTCATTAAAAACATGGCAACTGGAACTCCACAAAACATCTACATGGCCAAACTAAGACTCAAACAGCACTTATCTTTCTCAGCAAACGTATGCTTAGATTGTACTGTGAATGAAAATCCACAGTACTTACGTCAAAACAGTCTATGGAAATCTTAAGTTCAGCTGAATCCATTTAACAGTGTCAATAGAAAGCTGATTAGCAGGTATGTATTTAAGCAGATTATTTTCAGATAAAGCTACTGTTTTAAGAATGCCTTTCTCACACCTTGTCAACAAATTATTAATTTAACTTCAAAAAAAACCCCAAACCAAGTTCTTTTTGAAGGTAGACAGAATTGAAGACCTGGATAGTTTTTCATTTCTATAATTAAATCCACTCCCTTTACATGCTCAGGAGAGCAGTACAGACAGGCTAGACATGTGACGTGGTTAAAACAAAGGAACTGCATGAAGATAAATAAATGCTTCATGAAACCATGGTCTGGAAACCTTACAAAGGAAGTGAGCCCCAGGCTGCCATTCAGATGCTCCTGCAGAACTGACCCAGGAAGCTCAGCTCTGTGAGGGGAACAGCTGACAATGGCATCCAGCAGCACATCAGCCAGCATCCCTGTCTGAGAGCTCGGGGCACTCGGGTGTCACAGATCCATCAGGCACAGTTGCATTTGAAGTTTTTTCTAGTTATCAACCTACTGAATGGCACATGCTTGCAATGGGAGTCTCATTTTATGAGCTCATCAGGCTGCTGATCAAAGCAGGAAGATAACAAGTTTATGGAAAGCTCATTTAAGCATGAGGCATCCTTACAAAGAGCTAAGCATTCAAAAAAAACCTGAACTCCACCAAAACCCTCAAATGTGGTAATGGCAAAAGTGTTGGCCAGCTTTTTGGTCTACCCATCTAAGCAGAATTTTCCCTTTCTAGGTAAGTGATAAACATAGTACCTAGGTTGATAAAGGAAAAATAAATGTTGAAGATGGAAGCCTAGAGAACGAAAGAGACTTTTTTACTCTGATAGCAATCCTTCTGAAGTCATTTCCTTGAGGTAAACAAATAGGGTTGCTCAGAGAATCACATCAAGTACATAAATAGAAAGAAATCTGGTTTATAAAGTTTATAACACAACTTTTTAGTGATCCAAGAAGGCCTTTTCCACATTAAAACCCTAGTCCTGTTGTCACTTTAGGGCGATAGAAACATCAGTTGCAGCTGACGGGGAACACAACCCTGCACCCCGCTACTCATTCCTTTTCTCTGCTCCACTCCCAGCATTCCTTCAGTCACATACTGAAGTCAGGGCAGGCAGCTTTGGCAAAACAGCACTACCAGGCAATAGTCTCAGCTGCCTTAGGTCCCCAGGCAGCTCACTGCATCAGTGGGGGCATGGCTGCCCCTGCAGCAATGCTGCCACAAGGAGAACAGAGGGATGCAAAGGCAGGGGAAGGCCAGGCTCTTTCAAAGCCAGCCCCTACTGAGACCGGCCTGTAACATCTGCTAAGTTCAAATACGTTACATGGAGCTACCTCTTAATGCATTTAAATCAAGCTTCAAAGTTGGCAAAACCAGCCCCTGCACATAATAGCTCAATTTCATGTTATAGCCATCCACTAGGATGAGTTCAAAGATTTAATCTCATCAGCCTGAAAGCATTTCCTTCTGTTAATTTTATGCTCATTCACCTACAGGTCACTAAGGCAAAAATGCAGATTTTGCACAGTATGTTTCACGGGTTTATGAATTTTTTGCTAGCAAATCTCTAGAAGACAGCATACAAATGAGTTAAGGATCAAACAGAAGTATATATGCTGTCAGCCATCCTCCCATTTTTTAGAAGTGAGTGCTGTGGTCATCAGACACATGTTTTGCAAGGAGGCCCTGCAAGGCGCAGTGAGATCAGTGCCAGGAATTCGGTGAACCTGGGGTCACGCTGTCAGGGCTGCGCAGCACTGAAAGCATCTGAGCGGAATCCAGTCAGGGAATTAAATGACTGCCATTACAGTAGCAGGGCATCTGCCTTCTGCAGATCTGCTGCATTTCTGCTTCACGATGAATGCAAAAATAAATTCTTACCTAGTTCTCCTCGAAGGTTAAGCAGCTCTTGAGATAACGCTTTCCGCTGCTTCAGTGCTTCTTCCCTCTGCAGAGAAAAAAACAAAAAACCCCAAATGTTTGGTTACTAGTGGTCTGAGCAGGGTACCTTCCAGTAATTAACTTCCATGTGTTCTGTAGGAAAAACAAGAGCAAGAAGCCAAGATATGACTCATTTAGGATAACAGTTCAGCTGTTACAATATACACAGATGTTCTTCTGTTGTTAAGGAAGTTATACTTTAAAACAAAGAACCGCTTTTTCCAGGACATCTCTGCAATTAAAATCCTACTTTGCAGCAATTAATTATATATTTTATGGTGGGTGTAGCAACATAAGCCTCCAGAACAAATCAAGTGGTAGATGTCAAGGGCACAGAAGTATAGTGTATATGTGAAAGAGGCATGCATTAAATATTTATCTTAAGCTTACTCAAACAGAAAACCATCAACTTTGCTAAATGCTTAGTCTTCCATGAAGAAAAGGCACAGCCCTGTTCAAAGTTGAATACAACCCACCCTGCCGCTCACAGCTCCTAACGTTAAGATAGATGGTGTTTCTCATAGGGAGACAATCACGCAGCACGTGTGAACAGACCATACCACAGCAGAAGCCCCCATCTACCTCCCTGCTTTCCAGGAGCTGTGCCCCGGCCAGGAGGCCAGGCCCAGTGCCGCGGACCCGCAGCCCGGGGGCGGCGCAGGCACGGCCGGGCAGAGCCGCTCCGCGGCCCGCGGTCACCGCCTCACGCCACGCGCGGGGTGCCAAGGTCCGCACGCCCGCCTGGCAGGGCGCTCCACCGCCGGCTCCCTGCGAAACAAGCACTCATTACCCTTGCTGCAGCGCACTGAGAATAGAGGCACAGCTTGCTGCTAGAGCAGCCCATCTTCCAGCGCCGGCAGCCCCCCGCTCGGCCCCCCGGCCCTCATCGGCGACGCGCGGGCGGCGGCGGCACCACCGAGGCGGGCAGGTCCGGCCGGGGCCGGGCGGCAAGGCTGGACCTTGCCTCCGCAGGTTATCCTGCGTCCGCGCCCAGCGCTCCGACAGCGGCAGATACTGCAGCTCCTGCAATTGGCACAAGCAGCCAGCGATTACTTAAAGCCACAGCCCTTCTTTTATGCAAGGCGAGCCCAGACATTAGATCGATCGATCTCCACTTGCTCCGACGGCAGCCGGGATCACCGAGGGAACGCTGCCCTTCTCTGCACATAACCGAGCTTATTTTTAGCTGTTTCGAGCTTGTTGTACGCTGCTTTCACACCTAATTTGTTGATGCAAAAATAAACCATAGGAGGCCTAAACTCAATGGGAGAGCCACAGACACAGCAGCTTTGCTGCTGTCAATGCCCAGGCTTATGTTCAATAGTCCCGATGCATGCAAATAGCTTTAAATTTCGCATGCTTTTCCTTTAGCGAGGATACATGAGAGAAAAGGAAAAGAAAAGCACTGGCCCAAAAATCCTCACACTTGTCCACAACTGAGCACTGATGAATTTGCAGACTGGTCAAGCCACACCTACAGCTGGTTCTCCCCAGGGAAAACCTCATCTTTACAGCAAACTCCCCCTTTGCCCTTGGTCACTCTCACTGCAGCCTGACCACAGGCTGCCTCTTAAGAGCACCCCATCCTGGAGGCAGGGAAAACTCACTGCATGCCTGCAGAACAAATAAAGCAGTAAAATACTCCGTTCTTAAAAAAAAACTAGAAAGAATAAGCACCCAAAACCCAGTCATGTATTAAGGTCTGACACAAGGCTAATCAAAATGAGTAATTTTTATGCTATGCACTCATTTGCAAGTTTTAGGAAATTATTATGCAGCTGTAAAGGCTGGTTAGAAGAAACTGCCAGCCCTTTACTAGAAATATTTGAATTTTTGACATTGTATGAGAAATATTCCCCTTTAATCACTCAATTTAAGCAGTCTTAACAATTCTTTGGACCCTTTAGACTTTGGTAGGGCTATTAAGCAGCTGTGCTGCAGTTTTATATTAAGCTCTTAGAGGCTTTTTACAGTGTCAGTGGGCTAAGATTGACAACCACGCCTCACCTCCACAGTAAATTCTCAGGAGAGCAGAGAGCTCAGTTATTGAAAGGACTTGCCCTGCTCTTCCCTGCTTCCTATGCTCAGAAGGAGAGATGAGTCATCTCACTCCAGTTCAGCACGAGTGCTCCCACTATGGACACAGCATCTGATGATGAAAATGGAAATGCTACAGTGAGTTATTTGAGCTGCATCCTTGCACACTGGGACACAACCTGCTTTTTTCTGGCCCACTTTGTCAGTAAAAGATCTCAAATTCTCCCTGGTGGTTCTACCACGCTCCAGACCCTTTGGACATGCTAACCTTTTTGTTTAGTGTTTCCAAATGAGCTTCTTTGTGGTCTACACATTTTGTATTTGTTTTCAGTTAAAGAAATTTGATGCAACAAGGGCATTTACAATCAGCATATGCTAAGGACTAACGAGAGGCTAAGCCTAAAAATCCAAAACAAAATCAAATAACACTGCCTATGTAATCTTCATGGTTCTTGCTGCTCCTAAGCCCTGTTGCTTTTTATTGGTGTTGTTTATTTAACCTGTTGCCTCAGTCCAGCTTGCCCATTCATAGTTTAACATATCCAAGTAATCCAGATGGATTTGTATCATCACCTCCTGCTCACGAACACCTTCAGAAAAAACCTGCCAGCATAAAACAAGAAGACCAAGTTGCTCATATGGATAAGCAGCCACCTAAAGTAGTCAGACTGACTAGCAGAACTTAGTACACTTTTATCTGAGTTCTGAGAGAACTGAAGCTGCAGGTATGGGGGCTTCCCCAATAAAATGTTACAGTTTCCAAAATCTGAAATCTATATGCAGCAAAATACCAAAAGCACTTGTATAATGCAGAAAGAGCTTCTCTTCAGTATTCAAAGACAGGTATGCATATGCTTTGCGCTGGAATATCCAGCAACCTTCTTGTTTATGCTTAACAAGATTCTAGTTGAAAAATCAGTACCAGAAATTGGGAGAGCAGAACCAAGCTGGAGCATACAGGATCGAGCAATTTTGGCATTGTTATCCAGATAAATCCAGCAATAAGGATCATCCTCATTTGGCTGTCAGAGACTCATGAAGGATCTTCATACCCCTTTACAATTTCTTCTGGCACAATTTATGAATTTATATAAAGATCAGGTAGATTATTTGGGACCTATTTTTTTCTTTTTTACAAATAACCTATTGTAGGTTACACTTAAACCAAAATATTCCCCAGCCATAAACATGGAAGCTTCAGAAAAGAACAAGAACAGAGTTTAGGGATAAAAGATTTGCCACAGGAAATACTAGAGCAGTGCACCTCTGCCACTGAATGCTACAAAAAAGTTCCCAGCATAATGAGGGAGACCTGGACACTTCTTGCTCTGAGGAAAATTAGCCAGTTAAAAAATCCTTCACATTTTAAAAACTTGACAAGTTCAGGTAGACATATGCCCCACAGCAAAGACACTTGAGAAGGTGAGGCCCAAGGTAGAAGGTTAAAGAACACCACAGTTTCAAGATGGCAAAAACTACCAAGTCAGGAATGGAATAAATTACGAAGTTTGTCATTCATGTTTGTTTTGTTGGCAGTTATGCAGCCCAATTACAGGCTTAAGAGTATTTTTCCTGGCAACTAGCTGGTTTTGCTACAGCTTGAGATTCAAACAGACCAGCCTAGGGTCATTTTAGATACAAACAAGGGTGAGGACATATCACTGTCTGAACAGTTTCCATTGCTCTGCTTTGAAAGCAGGAAGCTCTACAAAAGTCCACATTCCAGAATGAGCAAGAAGGATATTTGTACCAAGCACACAAACAGCCTTCCTGCCTGCATACCCATACCAAATCTTCACGTGAGACAGACCCAAGTTACCTCCAAGACATCAGGTTCTGAGCAGTTCTCAAGCTAGAATAGGTGGGCATTCCTCGAGTATGCCACAGCAACTTTGCAGACAACAAATATAAGAGCATGAAGTTTTACAGTAAACTGGAAACTTTCTATTTCCTTGAGAGAATGTGCAACTAGCCAGAGTAACCATTCCAGGTTTCCCAGCACACTCCTGTTCCTGGCCAGGTGGGGTGATGCTGGTGTGGGGGCCCCATGTTCTGCCTGCAAATCAAGGCTTTGAGAGACACAGATAGGCTGTGCCTAGTCAAAAAGTCCTAATCACCTTTTCTAAGTTTTTCCTCCATGTTAAGAGCTGCAAATCCATCAACAGTTATTCAATATAAAAAAGCAAATCACAACAGAAACCAGGTTTCGAGGATGTGTGTCCAAATAAGCTAACATTGCCCAATCTGGTAGTAATTATCCAAACATCACAGTTCACATTTTAAACTAGCACATTCCTTTGGGAAACAAAATATGTTTGGAGCTCTTTTGGAGCTGTATTAAAGAAAGAAAAATTCACAAGAACCAATAATGAAAAGTTCCCATTTGCATACCAAAATACAGTAATTGTTGCTTTTTCAATTTCAAGCAGCTATATCACACTGAAGATAAGGCACCTGCCACAGCTGCCTAGTCTACCCCAGTAGCAGATTCAGAAGAAGCATTATAGATCACTGCAACCAAAAACTGCAAAGCACTGGTACATTGTGAAGAAAGAGACACAACTCACTTTGAGGCCATGAAATACCCCAGGGAATCAGGCTGTGTTGTGGCAATTTTCCCATGGCACAAGTGGAGCAGCCATGCTGGAATGTTCATCTCAGTGCTGGGATGCAAGGTGGTCCCTGCCCAGCGAAGGTGGAGAAGGGCTCTGACAATGCCAGTACCAAGCCCTCTGCAGTGTGCAGACAGGACAGGCAGATCCAGGTCTCAGGAAAATTGCAGCAACTCAACCTCTCACTGGTGTAACTGGCAGGTGGGAACACCTCTGACTGGCCAGGCTGTCATCAGCCTTCTGGTTTCCATCAGCAATACACTTCACAAACAACAATTTCAAGACTCAGAACTTAAAGGAGTAGAAAATTAAGTGTTAAATATAAAAGCATCACAATGCTCTTTTCAAAAAGCATTTT